CCCCCCGCCATCATGTCATTTGAAGAGTTCCAGCAGCGTAGTGAGCAGGTGCGCAGAATAGAAGTCAATGTAGAGACAGTGCCGAATCAGAGCAATCGTGCCGCTAGTAGATATCTCCACCCCAATCCCATGCCGCCAGCAGAGTGACTCTGGCATTGGGGTCGCCTGTAGACACAGAGCAACGGGAATCAAAATCTGGCGGGGCATTTCTTTACCAGTCCGCTGCGGGCCGCGGCAGTGCGGGCCGCAGCAGTGCGGGCCGGCCAGGCTCTAGAAGTCAATGTAGAGACAGTGCCGAATCAGAGCAATCGTGCCGCTAGTAGATATCTCCACCCCAATCCCATGCCGCCAGCAGAGTGACTCTGGCATTGGGGTCGCCTGTAGACACAGAGCAACGGGAATCAAAATCTGGCGGGGCATTTCTTTACCAGTCCGCTGCGGGCCGCGGCAGTGCGGGCCGCGGCAGTGCGGGCCGCCCAGGCTCGGGGTTTTCCATATTGCAAGAGAGAAGTGAGAAGCGTTGCGACCTTGCTCACTTGTCCTCCCTCCTTCCCCTGCTCTGTCCGCCCGTGCTTGTTCCTTTCGCGAAGGATGGTGCCGCGTGCGGGCCGCTGGGCGTTCCCCTTACAGCGGTCCCGCTTCGGCCAGAGAGGGCCATCCTTCCAGCGTCGGCCGCTGGTAGGCGATAGTTCGCATCCAAGAGCCTGCAGAGGTCACCAGGACTGCTGAGTGACAGAGGCTCGCAATGGTTGATTGATTGATTGATCCTCCTCCTCCTCCTCCTCCTCCTCCTCCTCCTCCTCCTCCTCCTCCTCCTCCTCCCCCTCCTGATGATCCTCTTCCTCCTGATCGTCGTCCTCCTCCTCCTACTCCTTCTCCTCCTCCTCCTCCTCCTCCTCCTCCTCCTCCTGTGGCGCTGCTCAGTCTCGCGTGCGCCCTCCCGCCCACGCTGGTGAGGGCAGGCGGGAGGCCCTCTCCCTGGCAGTGGCGGATGTGGTTCTGGTGCGCCACCCGCCAGGGAGCGGGGCAGAGAGGCGGGAGGGGCTCCAGAAAGGGGACGGAGAAAAGAAGGAGGAGGAGGGGGAGGAGGAGAGGAGAAGAGAAGAAGGACGAGGAGGAGGAGGAGGAGGAGGGGGAGGGGGAGGGGGAGGAGGAGGAGGAGGAGGAGGAGGAGGAGGAGGAGGAGGAGGAGGAGGAGGAGGAGAAGGAGGAGGAGGAGGAGCCGTTGCCGGCAGCGACGACGGGGACGAGGCGCGCAGACGACCCGCACCGGAGCACGAAGCAGGGGAATGGCCCAGCTTGCAGGTTCGCTCTCTACAGCACGTCGTGGAGACGGCAGCAAAAGCGAGGGAGGGGAGGGGAGGAGAGGGGCGGGGGAGGGGCTTCTGGCCGCACGACACCAGGGGCGGGGCCGAGGAGGGGAGGAGAGGGGCGAGGGGAGGAGCGAGGGGGGGGGGTCATGGGAGGGGAGGAGAGTGGCGAGGGGGGGGTGGCCGCGCGATATCGGGGGCCGTGCGCGCTCCGGCTCCCACCTCCTCCCTAGCGTCCCGGTTGGGCAGCACTGCTCCTGCTTCCTCCCTTTCCAGGGCTCCCGTGGGCCTCGAGAGTCGGGGGCCAACATGCAAACGGGGGTCGGCCAGAACACCCCGACCTTGCAGGCTCCTGCAGCGCCAGGGAAGCATTGGCCCGGGCTTGCCTACAGGATCCTGCAGGATCCCGCAGGATCCTGCAGGATCCTGCAAAGCCTGACTGGACCACGTTTGCACTGACCAGGGTGAGTGGATCCCCGATTCCCAGCTGCCCTTCCCAGGGCCCCCGCGGTGAGTCCGTGGGGATTCGGGGTCACCGCACGGCTTCGGGACCCGGGTCGTTCTCCGAGGACGTCTCGGGCGACTTGGGCCTCCAGGGGCCAAAATCCGCGCGATGACGGACCGCGCGGTGAGGTTTCTTGGGCTTCCGAGGTCACCGCGCGGTCGGTAACCACACGGTTTTGGGGTTCGAAAGCCCCCGGTCTTGCTCTTCTTGGCTCCCGCTCCCGTCCATGCTCCTTCCTGTCCCAGGAGGCATCGCCTGCGATGTTCAACTCTTCACGCTTCGCCTATCCCCACCAGCCCATTTTGAAACCCTGCCCATGAGAGTTGACGGGAAAAAGTGACGAAGAGGCACATACAGTGAAACGGAGCGGGCAACCGTAGTGAATAGAGCGGGCAACGGGGTGGCCTTAGAGGGCCTCTTCGGGCCATCTCTGGGGCCCACGTCGGGCTGAAGGCAGGAGGAGGAGGCGGCGGATGAGGACCAGTGTAAATCCAGGACCCATCAACGATATTGCAAGAAGCCTTCCCTCCAAGTTCCCTCTTCATCGCCCCCTACAAGGGAGCACCCCATTGGAAGAAAACCGTTTTTGAACATCTGGAACAGTTCTAGAACAACCACTTCTCGGGCTCCAACGCCGCGAATCGCTGGTATTGTTGCGTCTTGACGATCCTGAGTAGTGCCGATCAACGCGACCGTTGCGCCCTGACATTCGGACATCGTGCCACAGCACCACTTCTGGGTCGTTAGCCATGGGACAGCTTGACACTGCTGCGAGCTCTGAAGACGAACGTGCGCGGCGCTGAGGCGAGAGTCACACTTTGGAAAAGAGCCCTCCCTCAATTCGCGAGCTCTTGCACGCTTATAAGACGAACCTGCGCGTCGCTAAACGAGAGCCACGGTTTGAAAACGGAACGATCTCCATCCGTAAAATTCTTGCAAATGTTTAGTTTCAGGATCGCATCGGGTGATGAAGTCTTAGGCGAAACGCCCAGTCGCCTTTTCGACTGGTCTATTGGTGCGACAAGGTGGAGTTATTCATAAGGAGGAGGGATAGAACAGGAAGGTGACGACGACCACGACGACGAGGAAGAGTAGGAGAAGGAGCAGGACAACGATGAGGACGAGGACGAGGAGGAGGAGGAGGAGGAGGAGGAGGAGGAGGAGGAGGGCAACGAGGACAAGGACAGAGCGCTCAAAGACGCGTCTTGGAGCACTCCCGGGACTGACTTGGGGGATATTGGGGTCCTCTTGGATCTCTTGTTGAAGGTCTTGGGGCCCTCTTGGGGCCTTCTTGGGGCTCTCTTCGGGGCCTGTTGAGAGCCCTGGAGGGCCTCTTGGGGATCTCGTGGAGGGCGTCGGTGAAAAGAGATGGGGTCGTAGCGTTTGGTTTCCCCCTGGGCCATCAACATCGCTTCTTGGGGCTCTCTCAGGGCGCTCTTTGGGGCCATCTTGAGGCCTGAGGCCTCCCACATCGGAAGCGAAACGGCGGGAAGTCAAACATACTTGATGTTCCTTACGTTTTGAAGGGTGTTGGTTTCCTGTGGGGAGGTCCTGAAAGGGGGCTCCGAGAGCACCTGGAACTGTCTTGTGGCCCTCGTCGGGCCTCTTGAAGGTATGCCAGAAGTTATCTCCAACCATCGTTGGCTATCTTGAGCCATCTTGGAGGCCGTCTTTGAGCATCGGAGGCTCTCTTGGGGCCCTCTTTGGGCTCTCTTCGGGGCCTGCAGGGCGCCCTGGAGGGCCTCATGGGGCATTCGCAGAGGGCGTCGGTCAAAAGAGAGTGGTCGTATCGTTTGGTATTCCCCCAGGGGCCATCAAACTCACTTCTTGGGTCCCTCTTGGGACGCTCTTGGGCCGCTATTGGGCGCTGTTGGGGCTGCCTGGGGGGCTCTTTGGGCCCCCCTTTGGCCTCTCTCGGGTCACCCTGGGGCCATCTTGAGGCCTCAATAGCGCATCGGAAGCGAAAGGCGAACAGCCAAGGCGAGAAGTCACACATACTTGGCTTTCCTCAGGTTTTGAGGGAATTTGGTTTCTGGGGGGGGGGGGTCTTGAGGGGGCTGCGAGAGCACTTGGAACCGTCTTGTGGCCCTCGCTGGGCCTCTTGGAGGTATGCCAGACGCTATCTTGAACCATCGTCGGCTATCTTGAGCCATCTCGGAGGCCGTCTTTGCGCATCGGAGGCCTTCTTGGAGCCATAATGGGATCTTTTCGGGGATCATGGGGTCTTCCTGGGGCTTTTTCGGAGTATCGTGGGGCTCTCCTAGAGCCTTCTTGGGGGTCTATTGGCAGCCCTGGGGGGTCTCTTGGGGCCATCTTGGAGGCCATCGATCAGGAGGGGGGGGTCCCAAATTTGCCTCCATCTTGGACGCTTTAACGCCCCGCGAAACCTCCCGACAAAAAAAACAGTGAGGGGGGAGGCAAGCCTCTCGGAAGAAGAGAGGCTTTTGGCAGAGGATGGGAAGCTATCGCTAGACAACATTCGCCCAAAAGGCTGGTGGGATTCAGCTTTCGCGCCTGTTGATCTGTGGTCGAAGACCAGCACCATTCGGCGTTATCCCGTCAAAGATCGCACGCCCGCTCAATCCAGCTTAACTTGGCTTCACCCTGGGCCCGATCCGATCGGGCTTCGGAGACCTCCCAGGAGCTGCCGCCTGACCTGCTGCTGCTCGTCACCTCCTCTTCCCCTCCCGCCTTCCTCGCGGGCGAGAGAGGCGCATCCGTATCCGCGGCCTCGCGGGCTGTACCCCTGGGCCGCGACCCAGCGGACACGGGTCATTTTTGTTCGCGGACGTCCCTCGCGGAACATCTGCGCGCGACCGCGTCTCCGCGGGATCGCTCCCCGGAGTCCGGACCGCGAGGGCGCGGATATGGATACGTTCGCCGCTCGTGGGTCACCGTTCTTTCTTTTTTTTTCTCCCGCTCTGTCTGCCCGGCATGGCTCTGGGGCCCTGCGTGAATTTGCCAGCTTACGTTTAAGTCGGGCCTGTCCCCCTACAGGGGGATTTTTGATGAAACATCAAACATAAACCAAGAGTAGTAAGAAAAATAATCCAAAATTAGTATGGGGACTATTTTTGGAGTATTTTTGACCTTTTCGGGGCATTTTTGGAGTATTTTTGATTTTTCGTCGAAAATCCCCCTGCACGCCCGACATAAGCTTACGTGCCAAAACAGCGCGCTGCGAGCTTGTGAGCCGCGCGACGTGCATGCTCGTCGCCCTGCTCCTGCGCGGCGCCACCGACACCCTCCTGAGGGCACAGCTGAAGATCGACGGGGCCATGGTGAGCTGGGGGGGAGGGCGGAGGGAGGAGCGTGGAGTAGCGGCTGGGGGTCTGAGCTGGCTCCGCACTGGTTCTGGCCAGCAGGAGGAGGGGGGGGGGGGGCAGGTTCGAGGCGTGTCTTTTTTTGCCCGTTTTGGTCCCGTGGGGCCGTCTTCGGGCTCCAGGACCGTCAAAAACAATTTCGTGGCGAAGAACTGTATCAGATGGGCCCCCGGGTAGGGATCCGTGGATTGTTTTTGAGAGGATTTGGCTTCGCCCTCTGTTCCTGACCTGTTTTGTGGGGTCCCAACCAGTTCAGACCCCCCAGCCGCCTCCACAGGGGAATTTATCCAGGCATGTCCGACGGGGTCAGAGCTCGTGGGGTCGGAGGATCGCACCGCATCGCCGATGCATCGGCGATGCGGCTCGATGCGGAACCCGACGGCGGATTTTCTCCACGCCGACGGCGCCGATGGGTCGGCGATGCATCGGGCGATGCAGCGCGATCCTCCGACCCCACCTGCTCGGACCCCATTTGGGAGCCCTCTAGGCGTAGCCCCCTCGCGTCGTGACAGAAATCAAGGCGGGAGGTTTTCAATTATTTAATAGCTTCGCTCATTCCGCCAGCCCTGGAGCGCTATTTGGGGCCTCTTGGGGCCGTCTTGGGGGCTTCTTGGGGTCTTCTTGGGAGCGTCTTGGGGCTCCTCGGCGGCGTATTGGGCTCCCCTGGGGCCTCTTGGGGGGCTCTTGGGGGCCCCTTGGGGCGGGAGGGGGGGTAGTCGTTGGCAGCCCCCCCCTCGGAGGCCCCGATCCTCGTGAGTGGTGGCGAAAAATAGCTTCCCCCCTGGGGATCTCGCGGGGATCAGCCGGGGATCGGCCAGGGTACTTTTCGTCCGGGGCTCCCCAGGGGCCGCCCCGCGCGCGCGAACTAGAAATATTGTTAAGTAGTTACCGGAGATCGTAGCACGCCTCTGGCCTGTTGGGCCAGTGAATTTTTGGCCTCTGGGAGCCATCGGCGTGCCCCGGGACTGTTCAAGAGAGGGGAGAGAGGATCAGGGAAGGAAGGGTACCAATACCGCTAACCTTGTCCCCTTGTCGCCTTTCTGAGCCTCTTGGGAGGGCTTCGTCGCCACGGGTGGATTCGCTCCGAAATTCTGTGCAGAACGCACCCCAGGAGAAGATCGTGGCTTCCCCAGAGAGAGGGGCGAAGCGAGTCAGGCGACTTCAGGGCCATGGGGCAGCAACCCGCCCCAGAGCCATTCTGGAGCGACCGCGGCCCTCCACCGCGGATCTCCTCCGTCCCCCCCCCCTCCAGGCATCGCTCCACCGTGTGCGGTCGGCCAGGCCTGCCCCTCTCCGTACTCCTGTGCGCTACCACTCCGGCCTCGGCTTCCGCTGTGGGTGCACCGCGAAACGCCCGCGGGCCAGCCGGCCCGCGCCGGCTTTTCGCTCACCCTGATGCCCCTCTCCCCATGGCATCGCGCGGAGAAGCGCGCATGTTTCTTCCCCCGGCGAGGGCCATCGAGGAGCATCCTGGACCATCGAGCCGACACACAACAGCACGCGTGAGCACGAACGATGCTCGGGGAGTTGACGTCCGAGCGTTGGCCAGCCTCTGCCCTCCCCCGCCCAATTTTTGTGCGCGTCGTCGCCCGCGCGCGCGGCGACGCGGCGGAGCCAGCCGCGCTGGAGCGAGTCCGGTGCTCGTGCTCGTTTCCCGACACCAGCCCCTCGGCGGGGAGCAGCCAGCGCGCTGCGCGGGGGCTCACCTCACGGAGGGGGCCTCTCTCTGCCTCGGAGGGAGGAGAAGCGACACCAACACCGACAGGGGGGCCACCTCCAGCGAGAAGCGAGTCGCGCGTGATTTGCCTTGCCAGGTCTGTGGGCTCCACCGAGGCGCGCGGTGCGCGGCGGCGGGCGATGGGACGGTGCGCCACCGTCCCCCCCGCGCTCGGCAGTGAGAAGGGGGATCGGCAAGTGCCAAAGAGCCCCCTGCGGGCGACCACTCGACTGCGAACGGGTGACCGACCAGCGGCGCTAGCCAGAGTGGACAATACTCGACGCAAAGTGTACCCAGCGCGAAGGCTGTTAGAAATCCCAGAATCCCCGGAACGTATCAATGGCACGTTGTGTCAATATATTCTTCTAGTCCTACCCTCGGCGGGGAGCAGCCAGCGCGCTGCGCAGGGGGCTCACCTCACGGAGGGGGCCTCTCTCTTCTCTCTGCCTCACCGACAGGGGGGCCACCTCCAGCGAGGAGGTCCACGATGCCTCCCTGAGCTCGGGGCCAGGGCTGTCTCGAGCGAGAGGGGGGGGACCACACCTCCAGGGAGAACCCCTTGGCTCCTCGCATCTCCTCGCCCTGGCGGTGTTGGTGTCGCCTTTCGTTCTTCCTACAGTCACCGCGCCTAGTAAGGACGCGCGTCTTCATCTAGGGTGCCCTTGCGTCCTTGCCTCTGCGGCCAGTCCCTGCCATTATCACTGGCCGCCCGCCGCCCTAAAACACCCAACTTCGGCCTCCAAGGGTCTCGCGTCCTTATCACCCGTGCTTACTATACGTTTTGACTGTATCTACCACGGGGGCGGGAGTGGCGGAGTTCCGCCCACAGCCGTGCGGAGCTCGGTCGCACGGCACCTCAGCGAGCGCTGCCGCTGGCCGCAAGCCGATGCCGCTCCAGCGGCGACCCGCCCGGCATCTGCCAGGGGGGAGGGGCGGGCGAGGGCACCCAGGCGGACGCCCCCCACAGGCCACGCACGGAGGCTTCTGTTCGTCGGACTCTGGCAAGGCCGCTTGCGTGAAGGGGGGGAGGGGCGGGGCGGGGCGGGGCGGGGCGATCGGCATCGTTTAACCGATCCCCATCCCCATCCCCATCCCCATCCCCTTCGAGACCCCCACCAAGTTACCACCCCAAGTGGGGGTATACCCCTCGAAACCCGCAGGGACCGACCTAGATCCCGTCTAGTGGGGGTAAATCGGCGGGTGGGGCCCAGGCCACGCCGCTGGGGATGGGGATCGGATAAACGATACTCAGGCGAGGCCCGAAGGGAATTCTGGAGTTCAGGTCGGGACTCCCCGGCCGTGCCTTTTCGGCCCAGCGCTGCTCGAGAGGGCAGTGGAGGGGGGCCTGGGGAGAGGAAATGCTATGCAAGCAGACTTGCGAGATGCTGAAGCAGAACGCCCTGACACGCGCACAACCCCTGGGTCCGCCCGCCTTCGGAGACCGCCGGAGTGCTCGCCCCCGACCTGCTCGTGCCCCGCCCCCGACCTGGAGAGGAGGTGGGATGAAGAGCGAGGAGTGACGGTTCCATTAGACGTTCGTTTTGGGGAGATTCCCATGCCCGCCCACCGCACGTTGGTTGTAGTTGGGCCTGGGGTGCCCCTCCTCCCCTCCTTCTCTGTTGTCCTCCTCCTCCTTCCCCGCTCCTCCCCTCTCCCTCTGCAGTTTTTTGCGCATAACTCTTCATTCGCTGGCGCGCAGTGTGGGCGCCAGGCCTGACTGACTGACTGACTGACTGATCGACTCCAGTTCGAATCTAGCTCGACTCTAGTTCGACTCTAGCTCGACTCAGCTTCGACTCAAGTGACGGGCATTCGTCGCACCGTCGTCGCGTGAGTGGAGCGAGTGTCTCCAGGAATCCCCGCAGAACGAGCATCTGAGTTCCAGGCCGCCCAGGTGGGGCTGGAGCGCATTGCCGATGCACCGACGATGCGGAGCGGGTCCCCTGACCCCGTCTGCTCTCAGCCTCCAGAGGGGGTGCTTTCTCTAGAGGTGGAGCTCGTGACCGACATGGCGCAGATGGCCACCTGGCTGGCTGTGATGAACATGGTGCTGCACTCCACCGCGTGGCAGCCAGACAGGGAGGACTGCGCGGGCTCACGCGCAAACGTGGAGGGGGAAGATGAGAGGACGTCTCAGGAGGTTTCCAGAGGGCACTGGAGGTCCCAGAGGCATCTGGAGGCATTCGGAGGCTTCTCGAGGGTCAGGGAGGGATGTGAACCGTGCAGACACGTCTGGAACCTCGACAGGGGAGGTAGTAGGCTGATGCTGTATGAGGATGATGAGGAGGGACGAAACGGGAGGAGGAGGAGGAGGAGGAGGAGGAGGAGGAGGAGGAGGACCAGTGCAAACCCAAGAGTCACCAACGATGCTGGAAGAAGCCCTCCCCCCAAGCTACCTCATAGGCCCCTGCAATGGTTCATTTCCACAGAGGAACATGCCTCGTTCGAAGGCATCCATTTGAAGACTTTGAAGCATGCCAAAACATTGCTTTCGGTATTCCAACGCCACGGAAACACCTGACTGTTGCGTTTTGGCAATCCTGAATCTTACCAGAACGCCAGTCCTGGGACTTCAGCACCGAGACTCATCGTAACTGTTGCGCCCCACAAATCGTGAATCCTCCAAATGAAAATTCCTTGTACGTCGATCATGGGAATCCGTGAAACTCTTGCAATTCCGTAACAAGAATGTTGTTGCGGCGCCAGGGCGAGAGTCACATCTTGAAAACGAACCGCCCACAATCTGTGAAACTCTGGCAGATTTTTAGAAACGAATTTGCGCGGCGCTGAGGCGAGAGCCACATTTTGAAAACGACCCGCCCTCAACCCGAGAAACTCTTGCAACGTTTGATAAAGAATGCGCGCGGCGCTACGGCGAGAGCCACATTTTGACAACCACCCGCCCTCAATCCATCAAACTCTTGCAGATTTTTAGTAACGAATGTGCGCGGCTCTAAGGCGAGAGCCACATTTTGAAAACGAGCCGCCCTCTATCCGTGAAGCTCTTGCGCATTTTGACAAAGAGTGTGCGCGGCGCGAATGCGAGAGCCACTTTTTGAAAACCACCCGCCCTCCATCTGGGAAGCTGTTGCCATGTTTTCAGCTTCAGGGTCATAAATGGTGAGGAAGTTTCAAGCGAAACGCCCGGCCCGCCCTAACAACTGGCCTCGAGGTGCGACAGGAAGAAGTTGTTCATGAGAAGAAGGAATCGGGGAGGAGGAGGAGGAGGAGGATGAGGAGGGACAGGAGGGAGAGGACCAGAGTCAACCCAAGATGCCTCAACGAGGCTGCACTGCGCCTACCCGCTCCGGGTCCTCTCCTCACAAGTCCATCTAGTCCTTTTTGTTCCACTACGGGAAGTGCCCCTATGGTCCTGCAAGTCATTCGAGGGCCCCGTGTTGAGCAGCACCTGCCATCCATATTTCTAGCTAGAACGACGGCGACGAGGTGGGGTCACAAAGTTCAAGGGATTGGCCAGTGATAGCCCCGCTTTGGAGAATATTGGCCCTCAACCTGTGCGCGAAGTTTCTCGAATGTTACACTTTGGTCATCACACCTCAGAACTCATTGAGCGAGGGCCATGGTTTGGGAAGGAGCCTGCCTCCATTTGCGTAATGGCTGCGTGGCTTTAGCCAACTCCAAAATGTAATTGTTTTGCACAGGGACCGACGCCAAGTCATGCACCTTGGTGTTTCTTTTCCGACGAAGGTGCGCGGCGGTAAGGCAACAGCCACATAAGAAACCCATACCTTTGTGTGCGCGGCGCTTCCGCGAGAGCCATATAACCAAAACAGTGCAAGCTATGTGGTGCAACCCATGTGGTGCAACTACTTCTTGACGCTGCGCGTATCCCCACCAGCTGCTCGGCGCCTGGCGTCCTTGTGCTGGTGCAACGTCGCCACGCGCGGCTGCCCGTCTGCCCGTTGTCCCCAATTTGTTCTGCATGTTGCACGAATTATCTGGCTCTGTGCCCCAGTTTGCCTGATTGACACGCCCTCTGGACTTTCCTTGCGGGCCGCAGGTCAAAAACAAGATCCCCACCAGCCCATCCAAAAACGATGCCCAGGCGAATTGCGGTGATCAGGGAAGTGAGGGAACATACAGAGTAGCAAAGGGCTGGGGGGGGCCCGTCTTATCCAAGAGGGCGAGGATGGAGGAGGAGGAGTCGGAGTAGGAGGAGGAGGAGGAGGGGGAGGAGGGGCAGCAGGTGGGAAAAGTGGGAGGAGGGAGGAGGGAGGAGGGGGAATAGGCGGATGATGAGGAGGAGGGGGAGGAGGAGGAGGAGGATGAGGAAGGGGAGGAAGAGAAGAGGAAAGGAGGAGGAAGAGGAGGCGGAGGAGGAGGAGGAGGATGAGGCTGATAAAGTGGAGGAGAAGGAGGAGGAGTAGGCCGACAAGGAGGAGGAGGAGGAGGAGGAGGAGGAGGAGGAGGAGAACGATGGGAAGGAACACGAACAATGACGTGCACAAGAGCCTCCTAGGATGTCCCTTGGAAGTTGTTTTGGGGTCCTCTTGGAGCGCCTGGGGGATTCTTGGATGCTTCGGGGATCCTCTTGAGGCCCCTTGGGGGTCTAGGGAGCCTCTTGAGGGCCTCTTGGGGACCTCTTGGGGCCTCCTGGGCGCCTCTTGAGACCCTCTTGGGGCGCTCTTGGGAGCCTTGGGAGCGCTCTTGGGGCCATCTTGGGATGATCGATCGAAGGAAGGGGGTCCCCCAATTCGCGCCCCCCCTCGGGAGCCTCTAAAATCGCCTCTTGGACCCCTTTTGGGACGCTCTTGGAGCGCTCTTGGGCGCTTTTAGGGCCGTCTTGGGGGCATCTTGGGCCCCTCTTAGGGCCCTCTTGGGCCCTCTTGGGACCATCTTGGGGCCTCGAATGGCCATCGGAAGCGAAAAGGCGAGAACGCAAACCACATTGATGCCCCTTAGGTTTTGGAGCCATTTTAGCATCTTGGGGGGCCTCCTTGGGAGGCTACGTGGCCAATGGGAGTCGTCTTGGGGCGGTCTTGGGGCCTTTTGGAGCATCCTCGGGGCCATCTTGAGGCGTCTTGGGCTGTCTTGAGCCATCTTGGAGGTCATCTTGGGCTCTCCAACGCCCTCTTGGAGCCATCTTGGGCCACCTTGGACGCTCCCAACTACCAGCGACCCCCCCCGTCCAGGTCCAGGGGAGGGGGTTCGGGGGAGGGGTAAACCCCTCCCCGAAGGGGAAGAAGGGAAGATGGAAGAGGAAACTCCCTGAACCACCTACGCCCAGAGGGCTGGTGGGATTTTGAAACGCTTGGAGTTGCCAGCGCCACTGCTTGCGCAGTGATCCCACCTACCCGCCCGCAACTCCGTTTGCAAAACGCAAGCGGCGGCGGTTGCAATGAGTGCTTGGTTCTGTCTGGTGCATCTCTGTGGCCACGCTAGCCCGCGCATGCTCGCGCGCACAATGGTCAGCTAGTTTGGTGCGACCGACGCGGCCGCCTTGGCGCTGACCGCTGGGCACTTCCCAGCGCGTCTCGCAGGCCGCGCTTACGCGCGGGCACTTCAGTGCGAGTCGGTGACTTGGGCGGGCTCGATATCATGGCGACGTCGACCACGGTAGACACGATGACGATAGTAGCGGTGATGGTGATGTTCCAACGCTTATGTTTCAACGCCATGTACCTCTTACTATGCTTTCGGGGCACCCGATGTTCAGAGTCCTTGCGGAATCTGCTGTTTTGAATGATTTGGGCATGCGCGCGCGCGCGACGACGCGCGCGTGTGCCTGCGTCTCAGTGTTTGCATGGAGTTGTCGGGGCCTTCTGGTTTTTGGTAAACGAGTGTGCGCGCAGTGTGTTTTCTGCAGAGGATGGGTGGGGTTGAGGTCGATACCGGCAGGGTTTGGACAGTATGAGCTCAACTTTCAGATGGTCGTGGTTCTGGATAAGACATGGGCAACGGGACGAGAGCAAAACGGATACCCTCGGGGGGGGGAGGGTGGGGGGTGGGGGTGCTATCTTTTTTGTTTAAAGCCAATGTTCAAAACGAGTCTGCGTTGTGCCATCTGGGCGGCGACAGGGCGGCGACATGGCGGCCAGAGCGCCAGGCAGGCCCAGGCGTTCTGGGCGGCGGCGCGGAGGCGACGGGGCGGCAACGAGGCGGCGACGGGGCGGCGACGGGGCGGCGGCGGCGGCGACGTGGCGGCCAGGGCGCCAGGCAGGCCCAGACGACGGGCGCCGACGAGGCGGCGACGGGGCGGCGATGGAAGCTACACTGCCACCAGACCGCCAGGCAGGCCCAGCTCTTCGGCAAGAAGTGAGAGCCCCGAAGTGCAGGCATCTTCTGAACGAGTAAAGACAAGGATGGATGATCATGGTGATGCTGCTGATGATGATGCTGATGATGATGATGATGATGATGATGATGAGGAGGAGGAGGAGGAGGAGGAGGAGGAGGGGGAGGGGTAGTGACGAGGAGGAGGAGGAGGACGATGAGGAGGTGGAGGAGGACGAGGATGAGGACATGAAGATGGAGGAGGAGGAGAAGGAGGGGGATGTGGAGGCGCAGTAGTGATGATGATCCTGATGATGCGGCTGATGATGATGACGATGATGATGCTGATGATGATGATGCTGATGATGACGATACGGATTCTGCTGATGCTGATGCTGATGCTGATGACGATGATGCTGATGCTGATGCTGATGCTGATGATGATGATGATGCTGATGATGATGATGATGATGATGATGATGAGGATGATGATGTTGATGATGCTGATGCTGATGCTGATGCTGATGCTGGTGATGATGAGGAGGATGAGGCGGAGAGGTAATGAGGTTTCTGATGGCGATGCTGATGCTGATGATGTTGCTGCCGATGATGTTGCTGCTGATGCTGATGCTGCTGCTGTTGATGATGCTGATGCTGATGCTGCTGCTGATGATAATGATGATGGTGATGGCGATGAGTGATGATCATGGTGGTGGTGATGATCATGATGAGGGTGATGCTGATACAGATGATGATGAGGATGATGCTGATGATGATGAGGAGGAGGAGGAGGAAGAACAAAGGCGAATGATGACGAGGATCTGGAGGGGGAAGGTAAGAGGGAGGAGGAGGAGGAGGAAGAGGAGGAGGAGGAGGAGGGGGAAGGAGGGAGGAGGAGGAGGAGGAGGGAGGAGGAGGAGGAGGAGGAGGAGGAGGAGGAGGAGGAGGAGGAGGAGGAGGGGGGAGGAGGAGGAGGAGTGAGGAAACAGGAGCACTGAGCAGGACTATGGGCGCATGGCGACGTAAGGGACCGTCCAGCCGACTTCTATTCCCCCCCTCTTCCTCCTCTTCCCTCTCGTCCTCCTGCTGCTGCCTCTTCTGTTCGTCTCCCTCGGGCCCCTCGTCTTCCCCCCCTCCTCCTCCTCCTCATCCTCCTCGTCCAGCTGTTCTCCTCTTCTCGCGCGCAAAGGAGGAAGAGGAGGGGAGAGTGGGAGAAGGAAGGGGAGGAGGAGGGAAGAGAGAAGAGGGATAATGGAAGGGGAGCAAGGATATGGAGGAGTAGTAGGAGGAGGAGGGAGGAGGGAGGCCGCAGGAGGAGGACGAGGAGGAGGAGGAGGAGGAGGAGGAGGAGGAGGAGGAGGAGGAGGATGAAGAGGACGACTTCGAATCTCTCCTTCCCTCGTCCCTTCTACCCCGCTTGCGGGGGAAGCAGGAGGAAAGAGTGACGAGAGAAGGAGTAGTTGGAGGAGGAGTTGGAGGAGGAGGCGGAGGAGGCGAACGACGGGGAGGAAGCGAACCAGTGGGAGGAGGAGCAGGAGCGGGGGGAAGATAAAGGCAAAGGACCTGAATTGGATGAGGTGCAGGAGAAGCAGGAGGAGGAGCAACAGGAGGAGGAGGAGGAGGAGGAGGAGGAGGAGGAGGAGGATGTGGAGCAGGAGGGCTGAGGAATGACGTCCGCGGCGGCGGCGGTGACGACTGTCGCCCGCCGCCGCGAGGACGCGGCCAAGCCTGGCCAAGCTGGCGACTGGACCCTTCTGGCGCCCAGGGCCAGGGCTAACCTTTCGGCAGTGCCCTCGCGGGCTCGTCGACCGACGGCGCTGTCGCCGTCGCCGTCGCCGTCGCCGTCGCCGTCGCCGTCGCCGTCGCCGTCGCCGTCGCCGTCGTCGTCGTCGTCGTCGTCGTCGTCGTCGTCGTCGTCGTCGTCGTCGTCGTCGTCCTCCCATCCCTCCTGGTCTCCTTGCTGCTGCTGCGTCTCCCTCTGACATTCCGTGGACTCGAGCGCACACGGGGGCTGTAGCGTCGCTTTGCCAAAGACGATCACACACACACAACGACTGAGGAAGCATGACCTAATGTAGTCAAGGGAGGGAAAACCACCCAGACCCTGACACCTGGCGTTTACTAAACGGCGTTGGCGTTTACCAAAAAGGCCCTGCCCTGTTCGACTCCTTCCCTGGGCGCGTTTACTGAACGGCTTCGCTTGTCGGGGGGCTTCTCCTGGGAGCGGACCTTCTGCCCTCTGTTGTGCACGCTGCAGGCAGGTGGCGGAAGCCAGGAGGGCACGAGCACATGTTTTTTTTTGGGGGGGGGGGGGGGGGGGGGGGCGTCGAGGACTCGGCGGGCGCGCGAGGCGGCCGGGCCAGGACGGGCCGCGCGAGGGCGAATGGGCACACGTTGGTGTGGCAGGGAAGCGGAGCGGCCGCGGAGGGTCCGGGCCAAGGTCATCCGCGTAGAGGGGGCCAGCGTCAACATCTGCGAAGGAGCTGCGCGCGCAGCTCGCAAAGTCCCCTGCGATTAGATTCTGCCGCAGCCCCAGGCTTCGCTTGGGGCGGGCAGGGGGCATACCACTCATCGCAGGATGACCCGGACTGACTGCATTCGCTGCGGTTCGGGGCTCAAGAGGCGGCGGTCAGTGCACACCGGGGTCGGTCCGAGCGCCCGATCTTGCAGGAGCTTGCAGGGCCAGGGGTACCCTGACCCTGGCTTGGATCCTGCAGGATCTTGCAGGATCCCGCAGAGCCCGACGGACCCGGATTTGGACTGACCTGGGTCAGCAGGTCCCCGAGCGGCCCAGTCTCCAGGTGGAGGCGTGCGGAGGGGCAGCCAGCGCTGCGGGGCCAGAAACGGACCTCGCCAGGTGATCAGAGATTGGATGTGGTTCAGAGGAGGAAAAAAAGGTACCCAGACCGCTGCCCTTCACCCGTTTTAGCCTTTATGGGCCTCCTCGGAGGCCTTCTTCGTCATCACTGGATCCGCCTCGAGACCCTGCTCACGACGCACCCCGGGAAAAGGTCAGGGGAGTAGCGGTATCGGTACCTCTCGGTGTTCCCAGGATGGGGTGGTGAGCCCGAAAGGGCATGGAGTGACTAAGCAGGCAGTCGGTGGCACAGGGGGAGGGGGGCATTAGGACCCTAACAGTAGCACAACCAGCACGAAGAGAAACCTGAAGGTGAGGAGAGCCCAATGTAGCGACGATTTACTGGCGCCATGCGGGCGGCTGACGAAACGAGATGTAAGTGTTGAGTGTAGGCTCTGGGCACTGTCGGGTTGAGAGCGTACTTCTTGTAGTGTGGCAGTGTGGCGGCACACTTGTTTTACACCTTGCTGGTAGGATTTCGATGCGCGACATGTTTCTTCTTCGGTGCTGCTAGTCTACCAGGTGTTTTCACGTCTCGCTGGGTGTCTGACTCATCAAGACGGTCAGTACGAGACGCCATTGATTGGGTCAGGTGTGGGCGCTCTACCTACAGGGAGGGAGCACCACGTGCATGGCTATACTGATATACTACTTGGCTGGCTCTTATGGCGACGCAGCTGTTATCTCGCCACCGTGCAAGGCCAGCATTGTGGGTGACGACTGTTCACGGGGGCGCGGAAGGCCGTCACGTGCAACACCTCGTGTATGATGTGGTGGTCGATGCTGATTGCTAGTCTTGATGGTGATGATGTTGGCGATGGTACTGTTAATACTGATGCTGCTGCTGATGCTGATGATGATGCTGGTGGCAAAGACTATTATAAGTATGATGCTGACGCTGGTGATGCTGATGATGCTGATGGGGATGATGGTGATGGTGATGATAATGGTACCGGTGATGGTGATGATCATGATAATGACGGCTATGCTACTGCTGATGATTATGAATGTGACGACGGAGATGTTGAAATTGACGGTGATGATGCTGATGCTGATGATGATGCTGATGGCGGTGATGATGATGGTGATGTTGATGATGGTGATGATGCTGATGATGATGATGACGTTTCTGATGATGGCGATGATAACAACGATCGTGAGGCTAAGAACGATACTGTTGATGATGATGACGATGATGATGATGATGATGATGATGATGATGGGGATGCCGTTGATGCTTATCATGATGCTGATGCTGATGATGATGCTGATGTTGGTGGTGGTGGTGGCGGTGATGGTGGTGATGAGTATGATGATGCTGATGATGACGACGACGATGATGATGGTGCTGATGATGATGATGATGGTGATGGTGATATTGATGATGCTGATGCTGATGCTGATGATGATGATGATGACGATGATGATGATGATGATGCTGATGACGGTGGTGTTGGTGGCGGTGGTGGTTGTGGATTTGTTGATGTGACGATGCTGATTGTGATTGTGGTGTTGATGCTGATGCTGATGCTGCTGATGCTGGTGACGATGATGCCGACGACGGCGATGATGATGGTGATGTTGACGATGGTCATGATGATGATGCAACTGATGATGACGACGACGATGATGATGACGATGCTGCTGCTGATGATGATGATGATGATGGTAATCACGCTGCTGGTGACTATGATGATGTTGCTGGTAATGGTTATCGAATGGATGATGATGCTGCTGATGATGCTGCTGATGATGATGGGGATGATGATGAAGCTCATGCTGCTGCGGCGGATGATGCTGATTATGCTGATGATAATGATCATGCTACAACTGTGTACGATCATGTTGACGATGTTGGTGGTGGTGATTACGATGATGATGGTAATGGTGATAATGACGACGATGCTGATGATGATGAGGATGCTGATGCTGATGATGCTGATGCTGATGATGATAGTAGTTCTGATGGCTATGATAGTGATGCTGCTTATGAATATGACGACGGTGATGTTGATGATGGTGATGATGATGCTGATGGCGGTGATGATGATGATGATGATGATGGTGGTGATGTTGACGATGTTGATGCTGATGATGCTGACGATGATGATGATGGCAGTGCTAACATTGATGTTGAGACTACTAAGGATGCTGTTGATGATAATGATGGTGATGTCGTTGATGTTTATGATGATGATGGTGGTGGTAGTGGTTGCGGTGATGGTGGTGATGAATAGTATGATGCTGATGATGACGATGACGATGATGGTGATGATGCTGATGCTGATGATGATGCTTATGATGGTGATGATGATGCTGATGATGATGATGATGTTGCTGCGGATGCTGATGATGACGGTGGTGTTGGTGGCGGTGGTGGTGGTGGATTTGTTGATGTGACGATGTTGATTGTGATGGTGGTGCTGATGCTGATGCAGATGCTGATGCTGATGATGTTGATGATGATGCTGCCAACGATGATGACGACGCTGCTGATGATGGTGATGCCGGTAATGATGATGATGATGCTGATGATGCATTGGTGATGATGACGACGATGATGACGATGATGCGGCTGCTCATGATGATGATTATCATGCTGATGGTGACGATGATGATGCTGCTGGCAATGATGATTCATTTCATGGAACAGCTGCAGATGCTGCTGCTGATGATGACGGTGAAGCCACTGATGCTGATGATGATACCGATGCTGCTGCTGTTTCCGATGATGACGATGATGATGTTGATGACGATGGTGATGGTAGTGGTGCTGATGATGATGATGCTGCTGATGCTGATGCTGCTGATGCTGATGATGCTGATGCTGCTGATGATGGTGATGATGTAGATGTCGCTGTTGGTGTTGGTGATGGTGATGATGATGATGCTGATGATGATGATGTTGATGATGCTGCTGATGATGATGATGATGCTGATGCTGATGAGGATGAGGATAATGATGAAACTCGTTTTTGCCTTCTTGGGGCCCTCTCGGTCCCCTGTGAGGCAGTCTTGGGGTTCCCTCGCGTTGGTCTTGGGGCCTTTTTTATGCAGGCTTGGGGTTCTCTTTGGCCGTCTTGGGGCCCTCTTGGCCGTGTTGTGGGTGTCAGGGGGGGGCGTCGTGGGGCTTGGTGCCGTTTAGGGCCGTCGGAGGGCCTTCCAAGGCCGTCTTGGGTCCCACGGGAGGCCCTCTTGGGCCGTCTTGGGGCCGTTTTCCTCGTAGGCCATCGTGGAGTCCTTTTGGGCCTTCTTGAGCTGACGGCAGCCCGAAAATGCGAGAATGCGAAAATCATTCAACCACCAAATGGACATCAGTGATTTTAGTTATTCAGGGCCTGTTGGAGCTCCCCTTGTTGCCCTTTTGGTCCCTCTTGGAAGCATTCGGGCCGTCTTGAAGCAATATTCGGCCGCTTTGGGGCCATTTTGGGCCGTCTTCGAGGCATCTTGGGCCATCTTGGTGTCTTTGGTCGCCTGCACGGGTGGTCTTGGAAGCTCGGGACGCATATCCATGGCTTTACAAGGGATCGTGGCTTGGGAGGCCTTGGAGCGCTTGGGAGCAGCACCAGAAGCGGGAAGGAGGTTGGAAAAGGAAATGCCCTACACCACCTGCGCCCAGAGGGCTGGTGGGATTCGTGTGTTCTTCCTGTGTGGGAGTCGGGGCGTGCAAACGGCTGCAGAGTAGATGGCAGCTGTGGATGGGGTGGCGCTTCAGGCAGGGCAGCCCCAGGCAGGCGTCTGAAGGCTCAGAGCCCCTGGGGCACCCGTCAATTAGCCCTCGGAGCCTCCTCCCTCCCTCCCTCCTCCCCCCTCCCCTGACCTTCCAGGAGCGCTCCACACCAGCACCTGGACCTAGAGGCCCCAATTCCAGTCGAAGCTTTCCAGCAGTCCAGACAGGGCTGTAGGTCTACAGGGCTTGAAGGTCGGGGTCCTCCCCCTCGCAGGCCTAGAGGTTGACACCGACACCAATATCGGCGGTGTGCCTCCACCGACGGAAGAGGATCCCGATCTCGCTGATGGTGGTAATCTTCTGGCGTCCCAGGTGACCGAACTATTACCACCAGCACCGAAATCTAGGATCATCTTCCCCCCGTGGAGGCAACCCCCTGTGTTGGTGTTGGTGCCCATTTCCAGGCCTCCAACCCCCCCCCTCCCTCCGGCGGCCCCCGGGGGGCCCCGCCTACCTCTCGGCCCCGAGCAGAGCCACGACGGAGACCAGGCGGGCGAGGAGCCCGCCGAGAGCCAGCGCCGAGAGCCAGAGCCGAGCGGGGCCCGAGTCCTCGCCCGTCGGCCTGCCTCCCTGCCCTTGGCATCGCTCGGACGTGTGCATCTTTCCTTCGGCGAGGACCATCGAGGAGCATCCTTGATCAGTTGGCGAAACAACCACGCACGAAACCAAACAAAAACACGGGGAATGGTCGTCCGAGCGATGGCGAGTGCCTGCCTCCTTTCCCTGCCCTGACCTTCCAGGGTGCCTCCAAAGCAGCACTCCAGACACTCGTCGACCCCTCTGGACTGCCTGGAGGCCTCGCCTGGGTTTGAGGTATCCAGGTCCAGGCGCTGTCTGGCTGGCTCCCCTGGGAGGTCAGGGCGCCTGCCTCCCGGCCTCCTCCTCCTCCTCCTCCTCCTCTTCCTCCTCCTCCTCCTCCTCCTCCTCCTCCTCCTCCTTCCTCCGCCTCCCCCCCCTCCTCCTCCTCCTCCTCCTCCTCCTCCTCCTCCTCCTCCTCCTCCTCCTCCTCCTCCTCTCCTCCTCCTCCTCCTCCTCCCTCCTCCTCCTCCCTCCTCCTCCTCCGCCTCTCCTCCTCCCCCTCCCCTTCCTCCTCCCCCTCCTCCTCCTCCTCCTCCTCCCCCTCCCCTTCCTCCTCCCCCTCCTCCTCCTCCTTCTCTTCCTCCTCGCCTCCTCCTCCCCCTCTTCCTCCTCCTCCTCCTCCTCCTCCTCCTTTTCCTCCTCCTCCTCCCTCCCTGTGCCTCCCTCCCTCCGGGGGCTCCCGAGCGTGGCAGTCATCTCCCACCGGGCGCTTCCGCCCGGGCTTCTTTCTGGCCCGGGGCCCTCTTCACGGAGCGGCCCGGCCCGAGGAGGCGGCGGGGAGCCGGGGTCTGGGGGGCCTGGCCGTGGTGTTCTCCGCAAGGTTCGAAGAAGACAAGGCGCCCTAAACTTTTTTTGCGTCGTCGGCTAGGCAGGTGACGTCTGTGTTTTCGATGGGATGCCTTACACCGGGGATGCCGTCGGAGCGAATTGTGCCACCATGCAGGAGGAGGGAGGGGGGGAGGCGCGGCCGAGAAAGGGCGGACGGTGCGAGCGGCTCAGGCGGGGTCGGATCGCTCCCCGACAGACGCCATAAACGTACACAGTTGGCGCTCCGCGCGGAGCGCCAAAAGTTTATGTTTATGGCGTTTCTCCTTCTTCTGGTTCCGCAGCGTTGGATCTCAGGGCCTCCCCTTGCTCACCTCCTCCCCACCCCCGAGGCATGCAGCCTGGCCGGCTTCGCGGCAGCGAGCGGGCGGGCCCGCCTCCTCGGCCGGAGGGACGAGGGAAGCGCCAGGAGGTCGGAGGATCGAGGAGGGAAGGAGGGAGGGAGGGAGGGAGGGACTGAGGAGGGAGCGAGGAGGGATGGATGGATGGAGGGAGGGAGGAGCGAGGAGTGGGCAGGAATCGGGCGGGCCCAGAACCCAGATAAATCGCACTAGCCCTGAGCCCTGACCTTCCAGGAGGGCTCAACAATAGCACTTGGACCTAGATGCTCACATTCCAGATCAGGTTTTGGGCAGTTCAGATCGGTCTATAGGCCTTGAGTAATGTTAAAGCACTCGGGTAGGTCAGGGGAGGGAGGGAGGGAGGAGTGGGCAGGATTCGTGCGGCACCAGGATCAAGATCAATCGCTCGACAGCGTTCCAGACAGATTTCGCATCGTTCTGGAGCGCTTCGAAACGGCCGCGGCACTCCCTAACGTCCTCCAGAACAGCTGGCCCTCAGAGATCCATGGTTTTGTCCTGGTCTTGGCTTCGACCTCGGAGGGAGGCGCCCCCTCCCCCAGGACCTTGGGCGGACCGCACATTTGGATGCCAGCGATTTGACTCGTTTTCGGCACCCCTGGGAGGGGGCGGAGCCGCCCCTTAACTTCATGCCGGTGAGAATCGCACCCTCGGGATAATAGTGTTAAGGATCATTTGGTTTACCTGGGGATAACGATGTTGGGATGTCTGGATGGATACTGGTCGCGAACTCAGCGAAACCTCAGAAACTTGCGTTTCGCTGGATATATCCACACGACGTTGATCATAAGGGACAGTGATGGTGCTATGCATGACATGAAGATCAGAGCAACGATGCGAACTTGAGGGGTGATCATGCAGTTCGCCCAAAGTCCGCCCCCGGAGCCTCCTTGTGGCAATCCGAGCCCACGTGTACCCCGTGTTCCGCAAGAGCGAGGGGGTGAGGGGGGGGGCGGGGCCGCCTGGACTCTCCGCGGCATGCGGCTAATTACCCCGACCCTGGGTCGAAGCCCCCCCCGCCCCCTGCCCCCCGACGTCCGGATGGAGAGCCGCGCCAGGAACTAGGTGCTAAGGTTAAGTCGGGCATGCCCCTCTACAGGAGGAATATCCAGAAATATCTATAACACAGTTTTGGGACTATTTCCCAACCATCCTGTGGTGTTGGGTCCTCGTTTCGAAGAGACAGCGCCCCGCGTCTCCTCCTCCTTCCTTCCTCCTCCCTTCCCCTCCTCCCCCTCCATCTCCATCTCCATCATCATCATCATCATCATCATCATCATCATCATCATCATCATCATCATCATCATCATCATCATCATCATCATCATGATCAGGATGATCATCATCATCATCATCATCATCAGCATCAGCATCAGAATCATCATCACCATCATCATCATCATCATCATCATCATCATCATCATCATCATCATCATCATCATCATCATCATCACCCGTTTCAGCACACCCCTCACACGTTTCGTGGCCCCATAGAGAGCTCCACCGAAGGCCCCAATGGGACCGCCCGCACGCGTCACGCACCACCCAGTACAGCGTTTCGTGGGCCCATAGAGAGCTCCACCGACGGCCCCAGTGCCACCGCCCGCATGCGTCACGCACCACCCAGTACAGCGTTTCGTGGCCCCATAGGGAGCTCCACCGACGGCCCCAGTGGGACCGCCCGCATGCGTCCGGGACCACTCAGTACAGCGTTTCGTGGCCCCATAGGGAACCCCACCGAAGGTCCGAGCTGGACCGCCCGCATGCGTCCTGCACACCCAGCGTTTCGTGGCCCCATCGGGGGCCCCGCAGATGCGTGGCCCCAGTGGGACCGTCCGCATGCGTCGCCCCCACCCAGTACAACGCTTCGTGGCCCCATAGGGAGCCCCACCGAAGGTTCCAGTGGGACCGCCCGCGTGCGTCCCGCCCACCCAGTACAGCGTTTCCTGGCCCCATGGGGAGCCCCACCGAAAGTCCCAGTGGGACCGCCCGCATGCGTCCCGACCACCCAGTACATCGTTTCGTGGCCCCATAGGGAGCCCCACAGATTCGTGGCCCCATGGAGAGCCCCACGGAAGGTCCCCTTGGCAAGTCCACATGCGCTTCCCCCACCGAGCACACCGTTTCGTGGCCCATAGGGAGCTCCACCGAAGGCCCCAGTGGCAAGGTCCGCATGCGTCTCCTCCACCCAGCACAACGTTTCGTGGCCAATGGGGAGCTCCACCGAAGGCCCCAGTGGGACCGCCCGCATGCGTCCCGCACACTCAGTACAGCGTTACGTGGCCCATAGGGAGCTCCACTGAAGGCCCCAGTGGCAAAGTCCGCATGCGTCTGTCACACTCAGTGCAGCGTTTCGTTGCCATAGGGAGCTCCACCGAAAGACCCAGTGGCAAACTTCGCTTGCGTCTCCCCTACCCAGTGCAGCGCTTCGTGGCCCTATAGGGATCTCCACCTTATACGATTCCCATAATTGCGGCACTCACAACTACATATGGTTGGGTCCTTCGCCAGGTGTTTTTTTCTATTATTTGTTTTACCCTGCTTGACAGTTTGCGACTGTTTCTTATCTTGCCTCCCAAATCCGCCTGTAGGGGTACACGCCCGACTTAATGCTGAGTCACGGCCCGCGCTCCTGATGTGGCGCCCCTCGGCCGACCGCCCACGTGAAGAAGGCGACGGCGTGCCTGCTGGTGGCATGGCGGCCAGCACGCCCGCCGAGGGCAAACAAAAAAACACTGTGGTGACACTCTCGCGGAGCGGACGGCTGGCGCGAGGGCCGAGGACAGCCCCAGCTTTGGAGGGGCACCCTCGTGCCCTCCGTGTGTGGGCTCTCCGCCCCCTGCTTTCGGCCGCGTCCTCCGCCCCTTCCGAGCTTCCTCTCCTGCATGGTGGCACACTTCGCTCTCACTGCTCCCCCGCTTAGGCCGCTCCGCCAGCGCGGGCGACCCCTGCCTCGCCGCCGAAGCCAAACGCGTGTGGGCCCTCCGTCGTGGAAGGCTGCTCGCTGGCCGCTGCTCTCTGCACCGGGCTCCCGTGGCCCCGTCTCGGCTGCAGCGCTGCCCCTCCTCCGGGCCGTAGGGCCCCCCCGGGTCGCCGGGGGGGGCGCGCAGACAGCTGCGCCTCGCGCCCTCCTCGCGCCCTCGCGCCCTGGGCTCTGGAACGCTGCCGGTGGCCCCCATCCCGGCGAAGCCAGTCCAGTACAGCCAGCCCGCCCAGTGCCCAGTAAGGAGGGGCCATCTTCCCAAAGCTGCCCTGAGGTCGGGCACGTCCTCCTGCACGCGGATTGGGGACGAACCGTGTAACATGGTCAAAACATCTTCCCACATGGTCAAACAATAATGGAAAGCTCGCCCCCGTATTATTCCCAACCTTCCTGTGGTGTTGGGGCCTCGTTTTGAAGAGACGGTCCCCGCGTTCCTCTCATCCTCTCCCCCTCCTCCCTACTCCTCCTCCTCCTCCTCCTCCTCCTCCTCCTCCTCCTTCTCCTCCTCCTCCTCCTCCTCCTCCTCCTCCTCCTCCTCCCTCCTCCCTCCTCCCTCCTCCCGTCACCCCCCTCACCTTGGCACGCCTTTCACACGTTTCGTGGCCCCACAGGGAGCTCCACCGAAGGCCGCAGTGCCACCGGCCGCATGCGTCACGCACACCCATTTCGGGACACCCCTCACACGTTTCGTGGCCCCACAGGAAGCTACACCGAAGGCCCCAATGCCAACGCCCGCATGCGTCACGCACACCCAGTTCGGCACACTCCTCACACTTTTCGTGGCCCCACAGGGAGCTCCACCGAGGGCCCCAGTACCAACGTCCGCATGCGTCACGAACACCAATTTCGGCACACCCCTCAGATGTTTCGTGGCCCCATAGGGAGCTCCACCGAAGGCCCCCGTGCCACCAGCCGCATGCGTCACGCACGCCCATTCGGCACACCGATCACACGTTTCGTGGCCCCACAGGGATCTCCACCGAAAGCCCCAGTGCCACCGCCCGCCTGCGTCACGCAACAATTTCGGCACACCCCTCACACGTTTCGTGGCCCCACAGGGAGCTCCACCGAAGGCCCCCGTGCTACCGCCCGCATGCGTCACGCACACCCAAATTTCGGCACACCCCTCACACGTTTCGTGGCCCCACAGGGAGCTCCACCGAAGGTCCCAGTGTCACCGCCCGCATGCGTCACGCACACTCCACCCCTCACACGTTTAGTGGCCCCACAGGGAGCTCCACCGAAGGCCCCCGTGCTACCGCCCGCATGCGTCACGCACACCAATTTCGGCACACTCCTCGCACGTTTCGTGGCCCCAAAGGGAGCTCCACCGAAGGCCGCAGTTCCACCGCCCGCATGCGTCACCCACGCCCGTTCCCGCACACCCCTCACACGTTTCGTGGCCCCAAAGGGAGCTGCGTTCGCCTGCGCCAGTGGCTGCGTTCGCATGCGCCCACCGCGCATATTCCGGCACACCTCTCACGCGTTTCGTGGCCCAATGGGGAATGCCACCGACGGCCTGGCCCAAGTGGCTGCAATCGCATGACCGGGTAAATTTCGGCACGCCCCTCACACGCTTCATGGCCCTCTAGGGAGCTCCTCCGAATGCGGTGCATACAGCAACGGTGCTCACAACTACATATGGTTGGGTCCTCCGCCAGAATATCTTTTCTTTTGCTTATTCTTGAATCTGCCTCCTAGCCGCGGGGTCCGAATCTTGCGTTCTGGTGTGGAGCCTCTCGCAGTGGTGCAGCGCGCAGCCATGGCTGAGCAGGCGCTGGATACATTGCGCACTATGCTTGCAAGCGACGAGGGCACCTACAACGCGGAGCAGAAGGGAGCGATCATGGCGGCGGCATTCGCGGCGGCGCCAGTGCAGGCGGCGGAGGTCCTGGACATGCCCGACTTAAGGCTACCCTCGCATCCTTGCGCACCGTCGGTGCATCCTTGGCCACTTTCGCTTTTCGCTGGCCGGCCTCGCCCGGAAGACGTCCACATGGGCCTCCCTGGCCCGTGCGTCCGCACCGCGCATCCTCCTGATACGGGTCGACTGTACCCCCATGTTCTCCAGGACCCGTTTTTGTTGTTGTTGTTGTTGAATATTATTCCTTCTAAAGAATTATTATTGTTGGGACCCCTGGTGCGCGACCTCTGCGCCGCGCCTAGGCCGCAGCTACATTTTCATCATTTTTTCGCGAAAGCTTCAGAAAAGTGGATTATGTCCGGATCCGGTTTTTTGTTGACGCTCGTTTTCCCTTGCCAAAAACAATAGAAAATGAAAATTCTTGTTCTTACTTGATCAAATTGCAAGAATCCCTTGCAAAAAATAAGGTAAAGTGGACATTCGTGCGCGCAAGACGAAATCCTTCCAAAACCTTAGGTTTCGTAGCGATTTTAACATAAAAACATCAAAAACCCAATGGTTTTTTAAGAAAAAATTGTCAAAATGTCCTTCCGCGCGCGCTGTCCGAATCCCACAAAACCAATGGTTTTTCAACATTTATGTTACATGAGCTCGCGCGAGCTACTTTTTCTTGTTCTAACATAATCAAATTTCAATAATCCCTTGCAAAAAATAAGGTAAAGTGGACATTCGCGCGCGCAAGACGAAATCCTTCCAGAACCTTAGGTTTCGTAACGATTTCAACATAAAAACATCAAAAACCCAATGGTTTTTCAAAAAAAAATGTCCAAATTTCATCCCGCGCGCGCTGTCCGACTCCCACAAAACCAATGGTTTTTCAACATTTATGTTACATGAGCTCGCGCGAGCTACTTTTTCTTGTTCTAACATAATCAAATTTCAATACTCCCTTGCAAAAAAAAGTAAAGTGGACATTCGCGCGCGCAAGACCAACAAAAAACACGACGATCTCAGGAACTTGCCCCAAAAATGTGACCAACTCCGCTCTCTCTGTCTCTCTCTCTGTCTGCTCTCTGTCTCTCTCTCTGTCTGTCTGTGTCATGTATTGTATGTCACAATTGCAGGATGCTGGGCACACGCGCGCCCCGAATAAGTGACCAAGTTCTGTGGGTGTGTACCCCACGCCAGTGTAGTAGCCACGGTCGTCCGCACGCCACGAAGTGAAGTGTCCCAACGTCATAGGGCGGGAAGCTGGGTTTGGGTGGTCGCGAAGAGTCGTTTGGATATTTGGTAGAGCTTGAACTGCCCCCCCACGAAGTGGGGGTATTGTCTCGCGTCGCATGAAAACCCTGGCACTGGTGAGAACACTGAGCGTTCGGGTAAAATGATTGTTGTTGTTGTTGTTGTTGTTGTTGTTGTTGTTGTTGTTGTGGTTGTTATTGTTGTTGTTGTTGTTGATGATGTTGTTGTTGTTGCTGTTGTTGTTGCTGCTGCTGCTGCTGTTGTTGTGGTTGTTGTGGTTGTTGTGGTTGTTGTGGTTGTGGTTGTTGTTGTTGTTGTTGTTGAGGATGATGATGTTGTTGTTGTTGCTGTTGTTGTTGCTGCTGCTGCTGTTGTTGTTGTTGTGGTTGTTGTGGTTGTTGTGGTTGTTGTGGTTGTGGTTGTTGTTGTTGTTGTTGTTGTTGTTGTTGTTGTTTTTGTTGTTGTTGTGGTTGTTGTGGTTGTTGTGGTTGTTGTGGTTGTGGTTGTGGTTATGGTTGTGGATGTTGTTGTTGTTGTTGTTGTTGTTGTTGTTGTTGTTGTTGTTGTTGTCGTCGTCGTTGTCGTTGTTGTTGTTGTTGTTGGTTTTGTTGTTGTTGTTGTTGTTGTTGTTGTTGTTGTTGTTGTTGTTGTTGTTGTTGTAATTGCTGTTGTTGTTGTTGTTGTTGTTGTTGTTGTTGTTGTTGTTGTTGTTGTTGTTTGTCCCTCCCAAAGAGAGCCCGTCCACGGGCAAGTCCGCTTCCCCTCAAGGGGGCTAACACCCCTGCGGCAAGGCACCCGTTCCTCCAGGACCCGCTTCCTGCAGGCGAAGCTCGCTGCTTCGCCGTCGCCGGCGCGCCCGGGAGGGCAGGGCACGGGGGGCGGGCCTTTCTAGCAGCATCGGCGACGACCGAGGGCGTGGCTGCGCCAGGGTGTGGCTCGGCGATCGGCACCGGGGTTGCCCGGGGGGGCACGGTACGCCGCGGTCCTCGTGGGGCCTCCTCGGGGCGCGGCGGAGAGCTCGGTCGAGGTCCTCGCCCGCCCCTCCGGGTGCCCCAGGGTGCCGACTGCAGGCCACACCGTTCGGAGCCGCCGACAGAAGGGGTCAGAAGGTCTCGGGCCTTCTGAAGAGGCTTCTCTTCTGCGAGAGTCACAGAGACGGCTCCTCAGAAGGCAGGAGGGCTTCTGAGAAGCCGCGCCGCCTTGTGAGAAGGCCCACCCCCTCTCAGTGCCCCCCACGGCGCACCGCCGAATAGGAACGCAGTTCCTCAGAAATCTAGATTCCAGGTCGGGTATCCCGTTCGTGGCCGAGGCCTCCCGTGGCGGGACGAGCCCCTGCGTTCCTCGTTCAGAGTTCCGTCCGCCAGCAGCGCACGCAGCAGCCCCCGACAGCGGGTCCTGTGTCAAATATGGGCAGGGACTGCCGTCGGCCTTCGTCCACATTCTTGCCGTACCCGTTTTCGGCTCGCCACCGCGTTTGGTTCTCGGGACACTTTTTCACCTCGGCGCTCCGCCCGGCGCCCCGCCAGGTGGGGATCCTGGCAGCAGTCCGTGTTCCGCGGCAGCCCGCAGCTGGCCCTCGCGGCGGCGCTCCCGGGCTTCGTCGGTCGCCTGCCTCAGCCGCGCCGCGAGCCCTGCTCAGCAACGGGGGGGTCGAGGAGGATCTAGACACCAATCGAGGAGGAGGCGGAGGAGGAGGAGGAGGAAGAGGACCGAGGAGGAGGCTGAGGCGGAGGAGGAGGAGGCAGAGGAGGAGAAGGAGGATGAGGAGGAGGAGGACCGAGGATTAGGAGGCGGAGGAGGGGGAGGCGGAGGTGGAGGAGAAGGAGGATTGAGGCAGGGATGAGGAGGAGGATGAGGAGGAGTATGAGGAGGAGGAGGAGATGAGGAGGAGGAGGAGGAGGAGGAGGAGGAGGACCGAGGAGGAGTTAGGAGGCAGAGGAGGGGGAGGCGGAGGTGGAGGAGAAGGAGGATCGAGGCAGGGATGAGGAGGAGGATAGAGAGGAGTATGAGGAGGAGGAGGAGGAGGAGGAGGAGGAGGAGGAGGAGGAGGAGGACCAGTGTAAACCCAAGAGTCATCAACGATGATGGCATATCCCCTCCCTCAAAGCTCCCTCTTCATAGGCCCCATACAAAGGTTCATTTCCACTGGCGGAACTGCCTCGTTGGAAGGCAACCGATTGAAGACCCTGAATCATGCCAAACATTATTCTCGGGACTCCAATGCATCGGGGCAACCTGACTGTTGCGTCTTGACGATTCCGAATCGTGCCAGAACACCATTCCGGGGACTAAACACAGCGAACCAACGTAATTGTTACACCCTCGTAATCTTGACGGTTTCCAGAGCACAAATTCTGGTACTTTGACCATGGGACCCCGTGAAACTCTTGCAAAGTTTTCAAGGAATGTGGGCGGCGCTAATGTTGTTGATGAGTATGATGATGCTGGGGATGCTGATGCTGAAGGCGATGGTGATGTTGATGATCAATATGACAGGTGCTGATGGTGATGCCGATGATGATGATGATGATGATGCTGATGATGATGATGATGATGATGATGATGATGATGATGATGATGATGATGATGATGACGGTGACGGTGACGATGACAACGACGAAGATGCTGATGATGTTGACGATGCTGATGGTGGCGAGTGATGATGATGATGGTGGTGGTGATGATGATGACGGTGGTGGTGGTGGTGGTGATGCTGATGATGATGCTGTTCCTGATGATGATGGTGATGATGATGATGATGATGATGGTGGTGGTGATGGTGATGCTGCTGGTGGTGGGCGTGCTCATGCCGATAATGACGTTGATGATGACGACGACCATTATGATGATGATGATGATGATGATGATGATGATGATGATGATGATGATGATGATGCTGATGATGATTATTCTGAAAAGGATGGGTCTGCTGCTGATGAGCATGCTGATGCTGATGCTGATCGTGATGAAGGTTTTGACGTTACCGGTGACGCTGTCGATGATGATACTGATGATGATTATGATGGTGGTGGTGGCGGTGATGATGGCGGTGGTGTTGATGAGGGGGACGATGAGGATGAAGACGATTTTGATGATGGTGATGCTGATGACGCTGATGATGGTGATGCTGTTGCTGATGACGATGATGATGCTGATGATGCTGATGCTGATGCTGATGCTTCTGCTGATGCTGCTGTTGCTGATGCTGGTGCTGATGGCGACGAGGACGAGGATGATGATGAGGATGACGATATCGATGATGATGAAGGTGAACTTGTTGATCATGTCAATGATGGTGGTGTTGGCGATAATGCTGTTGCCATTGCTGCTGTTGAGGAGACGGAGGAAGGCAATATTGCTGATGCTGATGATGGCGCTGAGGAGGATGAGGAATGGTTGTTGTTGCTTCTGATGATGATGCTGCTGCTGATGTTGGTGGTGATGGATGCTGAGGAGTATGATGATGGTGATGGTGGGAGGATAGGAGGGAGAATAAGAGCGGAAAGCGAGGGAGAGGAGGAGGAGGAGGAGGAGTCGGAGGAGTCTGAGGAGGAGGAGGAGGAGGAGGATAATGAGGAGGAGGACGAGGCGGATGTGGAGGAGGAGGAGGAGGAGGAGGAGGATGAGGAGTAGGAGGAGGAGGAAGGGGAAGAGTGGGAAAGCAAAAGGAGATGATGAGGGGGAGGAGGGGGAGGGGGATGAGGAGGAGGAGGAGGAGGAGGATAATGAGGAGGAGAAGCAAGCAGAGGAGTCACGCAAGCGAAGAAGGGAGAGGCAGGGGTACCGAGCAGAGTCGCCTCGTGAGTTTAGACAACAAAGGCTCCGGGTTGTCCATCGTGCAGGTGTGAGGCGGTGCCGTCGCCTCCGCCGCGGCGGCGGCGCATCAACATCCGCGGCGCGCGGTGGTAGGCTGGCGACCTCGTGCCGCCTGGCGCCACCTATCAGCTTCATGCTGGGGTCGATAAGCATAGTACCTAAGTAACCTAGGCTAGCTAAGCAATTCGGAAGCGACTCGCAACTCAGAGAAGAGCCGAACCCAGTGATGATGATGACGACGGTGGTGGTGGTGATGATCACGGTGTCGGTGGTGGTGGCGGTGGTGATAACGAGGCTACTCATTCTTTCGATGATGGTGCTGCTGCTGCTAATAGTGATGGTGGTGCTGATGATGACGGTGGTGGTGGTGATACTGATGATGGCGATGACGGGCGTGACGGGCGTGGTGATGGTGATGACGATGATGATGATGATTTTGGCGACGCCGATGATGATTATCATTTTGGTGGTCCCGCTGCTCATGATGCTGGCGGCGGTGACGCTGCTGATGATCATGATGGTGGTTGTGATGATGTTGGCGGTGGTGCCGGTGATGACGGCGGCGGCGATGTCGAGGGGGCGGGTGGGAGGTGATTGCGATATTGATGGCGTTGATGACGCTGCTGATGGTGGCGATGCTGTCGACGATGATGGTGGTGATGACGACGCTAGTGATGGCGGAAATGACGATGTTGCGGCTTCTGATGACGACGAGGATGAGGGCGAGGGCGGGGATGATGATGGCGACGATGGCGTTGGCGATGATGATGATGATGATGATGATGATGATGATGATGATGATGATGATGATGCTGATGCTGATGCTGATGCTGATGCTGATGCTGATGCTGATGCTGCTGCTGCTGATGATGATGATGATGATGATGATGCTGATGATGATGATGATGATGATGATGATCATGATGATGATGATCATGATGATGATGATGATGACGATGATGACCATGACTGGTGGTGGTGGCGGTGATGGCGCTGCTGCTTTTGCTCGGGGTGCTGAGCAGGCGGAGGGGGCGCGCGCTTCCGATGCTGGGGGTGATGGCGATGGGGGGGGGGAAGGGCGTGCTTGTTGTTTTGGTTGCCTGCTGATGCTTGCGCTGCTGTCGTTATTGTTGTTATTGAACATTATTAATTCTAAAGAATAATTATTGTTGGGACCCCTGGTGCACGGCCCCCCTGCGCCGCCTAGGCCGCAGCTACATTTTCATCATTTTCGTGAGGAAGCCTCAGGTAATACGATGTGATCAAGATCCGGTTGTTTTGTTGTAATCCGTTTTCCCTTGCAAAAAACACTATAAAATGACATTTCTTGTTCTAATATAATCAAATTTCAAGAATCCCTTGCAAAAAATAAGGTAAAGTGGACATTCGCGCGCGCAAGACGAAATCCTTCCAAAAGCTTAGTGTTCGGAGCGATTTTAACATAAAAACATCAAAAAACCAATGGTTTTTCAACAAAAAAATGTCAAAATCTCATCCCGCGCGCTCTTGCGGATTCGTAGGAAACCCAACACTTTTTAAACATTTCTGTCAAACGGGCTTTTGCGAGCAACTTTTTCGAACTTCTGCGACAACGGTTGCGCACCTGCCAGGGCCATCATCCCTGTCAAATAATACCATGCGGGACACATTCGTTTTTTCTTCGCGCGCGCACGCCGTCGTCGTCGGCCGCGGGGCCCTGAATAGTAGCCACGGTCGTCCGCATGCCACGAAGTGAAGTGTCCGAACGTCATAGGGCGGGAAGCTGGGTGTGGGTGGTGGCGAAGAGTCGTTTGGAAATTTGGTAGAGCTTGAACCGGCCCCCCCACAAAGTGGGGGTATTGCCCGCCTCCTATGAAAACCCTGGCACTGGTGAGAACGGAGTGTCCCCACGTGCTAGTAATTGTTGTTGAACATTATTTATTCTAAAGAATAATTATTGTTGGGACCCCTGGTGCGCGACCCCCCCCGCCTAGGCCGCAGCTACATTTTCATCATTTTTTGCGAAAGCTTCAGAAAAGTGGATTGTGTCCGGATCCGGTTTTTTGTTGACGCTCGTTTTCCCTTGCAAAAAACAATAGAAAATGAAAATTCTTGTTCTTACTTGATCAAATTGCAAGAATCCCTTGCAAAAAATAAGGTAAAGTGGACATTCGTGCGCGCAAGACGAAATCCTTCCAAAACCTTAGGTTTCGTAACGATTTTAACATAAAAACATCAAAAACCCAATGGTTTTTTAAGAAAAAATTGTCAAAATGTCCTTCCGCGCGCGCTGTCCGAATCCCACAAAACCAATGGTTTTTCAACATTTATGTTACATGAGCTCGCGCGAGCTACTTTTTCTTGTTCTAACATAATCAAATTTCAATAATCCCTTGCAAAAAATAAGGTAAAGTGGACATTCGCGCGCGCAAGACGAAATCCTTCCAGAACCTTAGGTTTCGTAACGATTTCAACATAAAAACATCAAAAACCCAATGGTTTTTCAAAAAAAAATGTCCAAATTTCATCCCGCGCGCGCTGTCCGACTCCCACAAAACCAATGGTTTTTCAACATTTATGTTACATGAGCTCGCGCGAGCTACTTTTTCTTGTTCTAACATAATCAAATTTCAATAATCCCTTGCAAAAAATAAGGTAAAGTGGACATTCGCGCGCGCAAGACGAAATCCTTCCAGAACCTTAGGTTTCGTAACGATTTCAACATAAAAACATCAAAAACCCAATGGTTTTTCAAAAAAAATGTCCAAATTTCATCCCGCGCGCGCTGTCCGACTCCCACAAAACCAATGGTTTTTCAACATTTATGTTACATGAGCTCGCGCGAGCTACTTTTTCTTGTTCTAACATAATCAAATTTCAATACTCCCTTGCAAAAAAAAGTAAAGTGGACATTCGCGCGCGCAAGACCAACAAAAAACACGACGATCTCAGGAACTTGCCCCAAAAATGTGACCAACTCCGCTCTCTCTGTCTCTCTCTCTGTCTGCTCTCTGTCTCTCTCTCTGTCTGTCTGTGTCATGTATTGTATGTCACAATTGCAGGATGCTGGGCACACGCGCGCCCCGAATAAGTGACCAAGTTCTGTGGGTGTGTACCCCACGCCAGTGTAGTAGCCACGGTCGTCCGCACGCCACGAAGTGAAGTGTCCCAACGTCATAGGGCGGGAAGCTGGGTTTGGGTGGTCGCGAAGAGTCGTTTGGATATTTGGTAGAGCTTGAACTGCCCCCCCACGAAGTGGGGGTATTGTCTCGCGTCGCATGAAAACCCTGGCACTGGTGAGAACACTGAGCGTTCGGGTAAAATGATTGTTGTTGTTGTTGTTGTTGTTGTTGTTGTTGTTGCTGCTGCTGCTGCTGCTGTTGTTGTTGTTGTTGTTGTTGTTGTTGTTGTTGTTGTTGTTGGTGTTGTTGTTGTTGTTGTTGTTGTTGTTGTTGTTGTTGTTGTTGTTGTTGTTGTTGTTGGTGTCGTTGTTATTGGCCTTGTTGTTGTCGTTGTCGTCGTCCTCGTCGTTGTCGTCGTCGTCGTCGGCTTTGCTTTCGTCAGCGGTGGTGGCGACGATGGGCGACGAGGAGTTCGATGATGGTGGCGGAAAGGGTGGGGGGGGTGAGGAGGATGAGGAGGAGGAGGAGGAGGAGGAGGACGGGGGAGCAGGAGGACGGGGAGGGAGAGGGGGAGAAGCAGGAGGAGGAGGAGGAGGGGGGGGATGAAGATGATGTGGAAAAACGGGGAAACAGGGGGGCGAACGGGGGGGGAGGAAGGGTCGGACGAGGAGGGCGGGGGGAGGTTGGGGAGGAAGGTGGAGAGCGGGGGGGAAGGGGGAGATTGGGGGGAGGGGGGGGGGCGGAAGAGGGTGGGGGGCAAGGAGGGCGAGGATGGCGGCGTCCTGATTGCACCCTGCCGCTCCGCGGCCTTGCGGACCGATGGGGAGGGCGTGGGCGAGCCGTGCGCCGTGGAGTATCGGAGCTCTGCGCGGATTTCTCGGGTCGGCGCCAGGGCCCCACGACGGGGCCTCCAGCGTCGCCGGCGGGGCGTCCCGAGCGCGCGCCGGGGAGGGGGTCCAGCGCCGAGCCGAGAACTCCGCGCGGCGCTTTGGCAGTCTGCGTTCGCGCAGGGCTGCCCTCCTCCAGGGGTGGGGAAGGAGGCGAAGCAGGACCTAAGGAGGAGGAGGAGGAGGAGGAGGAGGAGGAGGAGGAGGAGGAGGAGGAGGAGGAGGAGGAGGAGGAGGAGGAGGAGGAGGAGGAGGAGGAGGAGTAGAAGGAGGATGAGGTGGAGAGGAGGAGGAGGAGGAGGAGGAGGAGGAGGAGGGCAGGAGCAGGAGCAGGAGCAGGAGGAGCAGGAGGAGGAGGAGGAGGTGGAGGAGGAGGTTGAGGAGGAGGAGGAGGAGGAGAAGGAGGAGGAGCAGGAGGGAGCAGGAGGAGGAGGAGGAGCAGGAGCAGGAGGAGGAGGAGGAGGAGTAGGAGGAGGAGGAGGAGGAGCAGGAGGAGGAGGAGGAGGAGGAGGAGGAGGAGGAGGAGGAGTAGGAGGAGGATAGGTATCCGATGACGTCTGTGCCCGGGCGCTTCCATCCCTGATGTCGTCAGCTGGCGTGTCTATCCGGGCTTGGCTCTCGGGGGCCGTCGGCAGGCCCCTGGGCCGTCGAGGAGGGGTCCAGGGGCGACAAGCTCCCCCGGGTGACCCCGGGGAAGCGGGGTCGGGGACGTCCCGTGTCCGGCGTCGGGCGCTCGCGCGTCGGGGCGCCCCCTGCGCGCTGTCGCCGTGCTTGTTGGGGGGCCGCAGCGTCGGCGTTTTTTTGGGGGGGGGCCTTCCCCTTCGGATGCAGTTCGGGGAGGTTCGTTTCGGAGTCGACGCTGTGAGTCCCAGGTCGAAAAGCTTGCTTCAGCTGTCCAGTTCCACCGGTTGGCTCCCACTCGATCTGGCCGCATCCCGCGCAGTCCAGGCTGAACTGGGGTTGACTGCGGCCGAACCTGGCCCAATGGCCTCTCGATCGATCGGAGCTACGAAATAACCCTTACGTAAATCGTTCTTGCGAAGACCTCTCAGGAAATTCAACTTTGCCCTCCTTGTCTCTGTTGCTCCAAAACACGTTCTGGGGCTCGATTTCATCATTCCACTCCGACCTGGCTCTCGACTTCGCGCCCAGCGCTGATGATTGACGGATGGATCGGCGACGTAAGCGTGTTTTTTTTTGGGGGGGGGGGGGGCACAAAATTACACCCTCTCGCCATCCCCAGACCCCCATCCGGACAATTTTTTATCCCGAGTTGTTTGTTGAAGGTCCCGGGGCCCAGCGAGGGCCCCCAGATGCAGGCCATTTCTAAACAGCTTCCCGTCGCGATTTGTTCCTGACGCAAGGGGGTCTGGGTTGTGGCCGCCACCGTCCTTGTCGTCGGCGTGGTGAATTCCGATTCGATCGATATGGTTCGATGGAGAGTTCCGCTGGCCCGATCCGATCCGATTCCGATACTCCGATTCCGCTGTGGCCCGCTGCTCGCCTGGCGCGGCAGTGCGTGCTGGCACGGCCGATCCGACTCCGTGTTGTTCGATTTGGCGCGCGTTCCGCTCCGACTCGGCTCCCCGAGTCGATGCCGACCGATCCCGTCGCCGGCGCTGGGCTGGCCCAGAGCGGGCGCCCGCGCCCCAGGCCTATGGATGACGAGGGTGGGCTTCGGCATCGGCCGCCAGGCGCTGTCGCCGGCGGAGACGCCCTCGGGCGGCCAGGAGGACCTTCATCGGTGCGGGAGGGGCCCGAGCGGTCGGGCGGTGGTGGAGGAGGGTCACAGAAGGATCTTGGAGGCCTCCACGCAGAAGGAATGACGAATGGTGCGGGGATGACCCGAGCGGAAAAAGACGTGGGAAGAATCAGGACGTGGTCGAGGAAGCGGGAGGAGGAGGAGGCTCAGGAGGAGGAAAAGGACGAGGAGGAGGAGGAGGAACCGGAGGAGGACGAGAAGGAGGAAGAGGAGAAGGAGGAGGAAAAGGGGGAGGAACACTACGACAATCAACCAGCTTCCGGGACCTCGTCAGTAACAGAAGCGGTCGAAGAGCAACCACATCATCTAATTTCAATGTTTGGGAGGTCCTGGCCGACCTCCGAACCTGCACGTTTGTGTGTTCTTCTGAGTATTATCAAAAGGTGGTGGAGGAGTCAGACGAGGATAAATACGTTTCGTGCGCTTTCCCCAGAGTGGACATTTCGCACAAGGAGGAGGGAGGAAGGAAACCTGCTCGTGGGGGTGTGGGCTGCCGTCCTGGTTTACGTTTCCCATAGTTCAACAATTCGAAAAGGGCGAATCATGGGAAACGCAAACCCAGACGACTGCCCCAAGGACACATTGCGCGGGAAACGCGTTTCTCATAATTCGAATTCCGAATTATGGGAAACGCAATTTTCTTTGAAAACCGCACTCGATGGGCTGGACATGCGTGTCCCATAATTCGAATTCCGAATTTCGGGAAAGCGGTGTCCCATAATTCCCTACCTAGGCTCTGCCTAGAGGGTTCTTACTCTCTTAGCTTAAAGGGGCCGGGCAGTGCAAAGCGCCCCGGGCGGTTCCCCCAGTCCCCGCCCCGCGGTTCCCCCACTTACGCCCCCTGGGTTCACCCAGCTTAGCTAAGCCTAGCTTAGCTTAGCTTATCTCATCTTAGCTTAGTTTAGCTCAGCTTAGCTTATCTCATCGTAGCTTAGCTTAGCTTAGCTTAACATAGCTTGGCTTAGCTTAGCTTAGCTTAGCTTACCTTAGATTGGCTTAGCTTAGCCTAGCCTAGCTTAGCTTAGCTTATTGCATCTTAGCTTAGCTTAGCTTAGCGTAACTTAGCTTAGCTTTGCCTAGCCTAGCTTAGCTTAGTTTAGCTTGGCTTAGCTTCGTTTATCTTAGCTTATCTCATCCTAGCGTAGCTTAGCTTAGCTTAGCTTGGCGTAGCTTAGCTTAGCTTAGCTTAGCCTAGCCTAGCCTAGCCTAGCCTAGCTTAGCTTAGCTTAGCTTAGCTTAGCTTAGCATAGCTTAACTTACCTCAGCTTACCTTAGCTCAGCTTAGCATAGCGCAGCATTAGCACAGCACAGCATAGCATAGCATAGCACAGCATATCATAGCATAACATAGCCAATCATAGCACAGCATAACATAGCTCAGCACAGCATAGCATAGCAATAACAAACGCAAAGGCAAGGGCAGAAGCAAAGGCACTGCAAAGCACCACCAATGCGAAATTGTAGCTGTAGATGTAGGTGTAGGTGTATATGTGGATGTAGGTGTAGATGTATATGTATATGTCGATGTAGGTGTAGCTGTAGGTGTAGATGTATATGTAGATATGAGTCTCGCTGTTGATGTTGATGTATATGTAGATGCAGGTGTATATGTAAATTCAGCTGTCGGTGGAGATGTATATGTTGCTTTCCTAAATGCTCCAACTCCTAGGTAGGGTCGCACTGGGATACGTTCGAATTCCGAATTATGGGACACGCAGTTTCTTTTTGGAAAACCGCACTCGATGGGCTGGAATTGCGTTTTCCAGCATTCAGAACTACGGGACACGCAAGTTCATTTGAAAAGCAGCACTCAATGGGCTGGAATTGCGTTTCCCATAATTCGAATTCAGAATTTCGGGAAACTCTGTTTCCTAGAATACGAATCCCGAATTAGGGGGAACGCAAATTCCCTTGAACAACCGCACTCAATGGGATGGAATTGCGTTTCCCATAACTGAATTATGGGATACATTTTTTCCCTGTGGAAAACCGCACTCAGTGGGCTGGACGTGCGTTTCCCATACATCGAATCCGAATTTCGGGAAACGCGGTTTCCCAGAATCCGAATCCCGAATTATGGGAAACGCATTTTCATTAGAAAAACCACACTCTATGAGCTGGAATTGCGTTTACCACAATTCCGACTTTTTGGGAAACGCAGTTTCTTTTGAACAAGCGCACCCAATGGGGTGGAATTGCGTTTACCACAATTCAAATTCAGAATTTCGGGAAACGCGGTTTCCTCGAATTCCAATTCCGATTTATGGGAAACACATTCCTTTCTCGAAAACCGCTTTCAATGGGCTGGAATTGCGTTTCCCATAATTCCGAATTATGGGACACGCAAGCTCCCTTGAAGTCCGCGTTCGATGGGTCGGCATTGCGTTTCCCATACTTCTGGTGGTGGTGGTGACGCTCCTGGTCGGTGCTGATTTTGATGGTGGTAAGTTTGCCCACGACGAGGCTGATGGTTCATGCTGATACTGACGATGACGATCAACCATCTGCTCTGCTGCTTGCCTCCCCTCGCTGCCGCCGAGGAGGCCCGGGGGCGCGCCGAGTCCGAGGTCGCGGGGCTGGCGCTGTCCTTCCTCACCGTGCAGGCGGCTGGGGTCTGCCTGTCGGGGGGCACCTGCGGGATGGAGGACGGGGAGGAGGAACACGGAGGATGACGGAGGATAACAGTGGATGATGATGTTAATGTTGATATGGACAATGTTGATGATGATGATGATGATGATGATGATGATGATGATGATGATGATGATGATGATGTTGATGCTGATGTTGATGAGGCTGATGATGTTGATGATGATGGCGATGCTGATGATGATGATGATGATGATTCTGACACTGATGATGGTGATGATGTCGATGATGTTGATGCTGCTTATGCTGATGATGCTGAGGATGACGGGATCTACGATGATGATGATGATGATGATGATGATGATGATGATGCGGTTGATTATGACGATGCTGGTGAATACTAATAAGCATGAGATGGTTCGGATGTTGCTGATGATGATGCTGCTGATGATGATGGTGATGGTGATGGTGATGGTGATGTGTGATGGTGATGGTGATGGTCATGGATGTGGTGGTGGTGATGATGTTGATGATGATGACGAGGAGGAGGAGGAGACATGCTAGGAAGGAGGAGCTGGAGACGAAGGAGGAGCAGGAAGAGGACAGCGGCGGGGATGGGGACAGGGGCGTCGCCGACGCAGGAGGAGGAGGAGAAGAAGGAGGAGAAAAAGGAGGAGGAGGAGTAGGAGGAGGTGGGATCTCGAGAAGGAGGGAGGAGGGAGAAGGGAGGATGAGGAGGGAGTGGGAGGATGAGCATGAGGATGAGGATGAGGATGAGGATGAGGAGAAGGAGGAGGAGGAGGAGGAATGATGTTCATGAGGAGGATGGATGAGCGGGAGGAGAAATGACAGTGGAATAATGAGAAGGAAGATGACGACGACGGGGACGGGGACGAGGACGACGCCGAATTCGATGTCGATCCAAACGCCGAGGACGCGGAATCTCCTCTTCTTCCCTGGATGGCTTTGGAGGCCCATGTAGGGTCAGGCGTCAGGCATGTTCGAACGCACACAAAAGCATCTCAATGGGGGAACGGTGCCACAAGGTATCCGAGCAGCAGTACCTCTTCAGGGGTTACCCGAGGCTTGTGAGCAATCCTACGCCTGGCACCCTCAGGAGCCTCCAGCAGGGTCCCCTGGGCCCCGAAGGGCCAGCTCCCAAAGCGACGCTCCGCTGGGGGCAAAACGCTGCGGATGAGACCAGAAGAGAGGTCCGAGCCTGGAGGGGGGCTACTGGGGCAGAGTGAGGAAGGGAGGGGAGGGTGGGAGGTGGGAGAGGCACGTCGTGACGTCGTGGGCTGTGCCGTTTTCACTGGGAGCGGCACTGTTGTCGCCGCCCTAGGCGGAGTTCCTAGGGCACCGTGCTGGGGGGCACCCGCGCAGGCCGGTGCTCCGCAGCTGCGTGGCGCATAGAAACTGTTCGTCTCCAGGCTTGGAAGGAAAGGCCTTGTATACTCCAGATTTCGTAATAAAAGGGAGGGGGTCTGGACCCTCCAAGACAAGCCATTTCAGACCTCCCCCGTGGGAGAACCCTCCAAAGCATCGTCCCCAGACCCCCCCTGGCTCTCCAAGATAGCCTGGAAGAGACCCCCCCGAAATGAGACCCCCCCTCCCTTTATTACGAAATCTGGAGTAGAGTGTTTATCTCTGACCCAGTGTCGTCATTCCCTTGCTGACGCCATGGCCTTGTACGGAAGCGGTCCATCCTGTGGGCCACTATCGCTGTCATTCCGCGGGCGGCAGTCGCACCAGTGAGCGCTCTTTGGGGAAAGAGGAGTACCCCCCTCTCCCCGGACGCCCCACTGCCTGCGACGGCGACGGGAGGAATGGGTCAGGAAGGATGAGGGAGGGAGCAGAAAGGAGGGACGAGGGAAGAGGGAGGGGCAGGGGGGGAGACCCCCTCCTCCCTCCGCAGAACATCCTCCCCTCCCCTCCGTCGGCCAGCCTCGCCGCGACGCCGACGACGACGACGACGGCTGCAAGGCGGCCTGCTTCGCCCTCTCGGGCACACTGCCGGGGCGGCTGGGCCCCGGCGAGCTCGGCGCGCCGCCGCTGGGCGGCCCGCAGGCGCCGCTGCCGTTGCGGCCGCCGCCGCCGCCGCCGTCGCAGTTCTCGCCGCCGCTGCCGCCGTCGTGGCCGTCGTGACCGTCGCCGCCGCCAGTGCGGCCGCCGCTGCCGCCGCCGTCGTTGCTGCCGCCGGTGCCGCCGCCGCCGCCTCTGCGTCGTCGTCGTCGCCGCCGTCGTCGTCGCCGTCGCCGCCACCGCCGCCTTGGCTGCCGCCGCCGCCGTCGCCGCCGCCGCCGTGGCAACGTCGTCGCCGCCGCCGCCGCCCCGGAAGGCCGCCGTGCTGGCCCTTGGCGGGGCGGCGTGCCTGGGTGCGGCCGCGCGCGCGGGCGCGCTGTCGGCCGCGCTGGGCGGCTTCCTCGGCTACTGCGGGTCCTGGTGCTGCCCCTCTTCCCCAAGAACGAGGGGGACGAGGACGAGGAGGTGGAGGAGGAGGAGAAGGAGGAGGAGGAGGAGGAGGAGGAGGAGGAGGAGGAGGCATAGGAGGAGCATGAAGAACAGGAGGATGAGGAGGAGGAGAAGGAAGAGGAGGAGGAGGAGCAGGAGCAGGAGCAGGAGGAGGAGGAGGAGGAGGAGAAGGAAGAGGAGGAACAGGAGGAGGGCGGCGACGAGGAGTGCGAGGAGGGCGAGGGGGACGACGAGGAGGACGGAAGAGGAGGAGGACGACTAAGAGGACGAGCCCCGCCTTCGCTCGTTCAGGCATCAAGGTTCGACGTCCAGCGTCTCGAACAAATCGAAACGGTAGTTGCTTCGCCGTTTTGGGCCTCCGAAGGCCAGTCGGGCTTTTGGACTCTAGCAAAAAACGATGCGCGACGACAGATCTCGCCTGGGGAAGGAACCGATGGTTGAGGTCTTGCTTGTTGTGTGGAGGCCTTCTAGGCCTCTGAGGGCGCCCTGTTCGCTGCTGCTGGATTGCCTCTTGTTTTTCCCAACTCGCCCGCCTTGACAGGTCTGGGTTTCCACCACCCCAAGAGGGGAAGAGAGAGAGAGAGAGAGAGCGAGATAGAGAGAGGAAAAACAACACCCAGACGTCTGGCGATTCTATCAGTAGTCGGAACAGCAGCTCAAAGAAAGAGACAGAGAGAGGCCACTCTCCACGCACAGAGCTCGCGTCACGGAGAGCATCACAACTCCAGGCAGCACCGATGTTTTCTCCCTCCTGAATGGGGAGCAGGCCTCGGGGCCAGCCAGGGGGCCACCCTGGGCACATTCGGATGGTTGCCCCTCGTTGGCCCCCAGGGAGTCCTCGTCGCCACAGCTGCATTCGCTTCTCGAGACCCTCGTCGGACGGTCGCGGGCGAGAGCTCCGTCCGCACGTGCTTCACGACGCTGCGGCTTTGCCCACGGCGTCGGCTGCCGCGGGGGGTTGGGGACGTTTCCCGCGGAGGTCTTCGACAGTTCTTGGCAGGTGTCCAGCTGAGGTCGGGGTCCGTTCGGCCGTCCTGTCAAGAGGAGTGGGAGGAGGAGGAGGAGGAGGAGTAGGAGAAGGAGTTGTCCATATCATATCCATTATCATGATCATTGCCATTATCATTGCCAGTACCCCTATCATCATTACCATTCGCATCATCCTCATCTTCATCCTCATCCTCCTCCTCATCATCATCAGCATCATCATCGGCATCGCCATCATCATCATCATCCTCATCATCATCATCATCATCATCAGCATCAGCATCAGCATCAGTATCATCATTGTCCTCCTCACCTGCTCGCCTCCCCCGCTGGCTCGCCTCCCTCTCCCTCCTTTTCCTCCTCCTCCTCCTCCTTCCCGCTTTATCTTAGCCCCCCCTGCCCGAGGCGGTGCTTCAGGGGCGGCAGGCGCCGACTGATGCGCATTCCTATCCCGCGCCCCGCATGGCGCGCCCTTCTCCTGCGGTGAGGCGGCGGCTCCTGGCGAAGCTGATGCCGTGCTGGTTCATACGTGTCGGGTGGCCCTGGGCTCTGGATTCTCCTGGAATGCTTCGAGGTGGTGATATTTGTCCACTGAAATGCCCAGCGCGCGAGTTCAGAGGAGAGACTTTATGGCATCTCTGCCGCATTTCGCTATGTAGATGTGATGTGCCTGAGCGGGACAGGAAAGAAGCGAGGGGATGCCGAGACTCTTCGGGCGCCGCTGCCTTTTCATATTGCCCTTCGGTCTGGCTGGAGCCCCAGCCCCCACACGAACAAGAGCTGCGGGTGCACCATCTTGCGCCGCAAACGGGTCTTCCGCACGCCGCACTTAGTGGACCCCCCTCCAGTGCCAGCGGATCTGAGAGGCCGAGTTTCTTTGACGCGCCTTCGCAGCGGGCGGTTCGACATCTTGGTGCCGATGGCCTACTTCCTGCCGAGACCGTCGAGCCGTCGCAGTGCATCCGGGACGGTCACGGTGGGCACTGCGCGTGTAGCATACAGGGACACCGCCGATGCGATATGCAACTGGATCGAGCAGGCTCTCACTTGGGCTCGAGGGCGGTCCGCTCTCTTCTTTGGCTTCGACCTCAACGACGGACTGACTGGGCATTCGCCAACGATTTGCGCAAGTCTACGAGCAAGTGGACTCGCCCGCTCTCGGACCACACGGGCGCCAGGTTCAGCACTGCGGCCGACAAGATGCTAGAGTTGCTCGAGTGGTTCGCACTCTGAGTGTCGACGAGCGACTTCGAGGTTGCGCCGACATTTCACGGGGCTCGGTGCGCCACTCACATCGACCACGTCGCCATCTTCGCATGGCAGGTCCCATCAGTGCAGACGGTGATGCCGCTCAAGGGCGCCAGCCTTCGCCTGCAGTTGATACCGCGGCCTGGTTTGCAGGACCACGTTCCCATCTTGACGCAAGTGATCTACGCGCTGCTGGTGCCCCCCCCCCCCCGCGGCCGCGGACTCAGTGGGACGTCCATTGGTTGAGCCAGGCACTGCAGTCAAGCAAGGGGGTTTCTGCGTTCGCTCGCGAATTAAAAGAGGCCTGCTCGCAGCACCCCGACTACTTCCACGAGCTGTACTCTGCGAAGGCCCTGACGAGGCCTGGGAGCATTGGAGCGGTCAGCTGCATACGGTGGCCCAGATGCACTTCGCTGGTCGAGCGCCAGTGCCGCGGCGAGTTCAGAGACTTCGTGAGGAGCGGCTTCGACTTCTGGCTGACCGACGCGCTCTTCGAGAGGCGGGCTGCGACGCCGCGGACATGGCTTTCGCTTTGGCCAGGGCTTAGCGCGCGCTGCGCGGCCATCGCCGAGTTCGCCTCGACAGCGAGGTGCAGCTCCTCGTCGATGACATGCGCGAGGCGTGGCAGCGTCGGCAGTTCGCCGAGGCGTGGTGCTTGGGCCACCCGCTGGCAGCGCAGTGCAAGGGGCCGCGGCGCAGGCGCTACAACGTCGCGGACAGCTTCCTTCCACGGCGGACCGAGATCGTGAAGCATTTTGCCCAGGTCGGCGCCAACGGCGGCCTCGCTGCGATCCCGATCGAGTTCGCGGAGTATCGCCAGCAGTGCCTGGACCCCCTGCCCAGCGCCCCGATGCACGCGTGCGACCACCTCGACACTTGCCGTGAGGACTTCGAGAAGTTGGTCGATGTGTTGTCGAAATCTTCTCGACGCCGTGCCGCCCCCCCCGCGGTGTCCCCACGGAAGTACTTCACTTTGCACTCGAGCCTTGGCGTCGGCACGATGGCCGACGACGGCGACGGCGCCCGCGGCGCCTTGGAGATGAAGACGAGGCTGAAATTGACGGTTTTCTTCAGCCTCGGGTCGAGCTGCAGCTTCTGCATCGCCTTGCTGTCGATCGGAGCGGGGTAGGACAGGTGCCCGAGGATATCGACGCGCCCATCGCCGAGCGCGCCCTGTAGACCATCCTCGCCCACATCAGGAGGGCCAGGCGCGTGCCCGTCATCTGGCACCACCCGGTCGCTACGGGGCTGGGCAAACACAGCGGGAAGTCCGAGTTCAACGCCGAGCGCGTCATCCACGGCCAGTGTAGGGTTGAGACGGCCTGGTGCAAAGCGCAAACTGCAGCGAGCTCCACCTGACGAACCACCGCCTCGAGAGCACGGCTATCAGCGAGGTCGCAACCGAGACGGCGCTCTCCTGTGCCATGAAGGGCTTCCCGGTCGTCTTCGGCACCTCGGCGTTTCGAGCGTCGCTGCGAAGGAGGGCGTGCGCAACGCATTCGGCGCCTCTGCTCCCGCCGCCCTGCGCTAGACAGTCGAGACGGCGGCGCGCCCCGAGGGGCAGGGGTATTTCCACCGGCGTCACGAGCCTAGCGCGTTCCGCGTCTCGGGGGCCGACGGGGGCCAGGACCTCCACAACCGCTGCGGCGCCTTCATGGGCGACGCCCCTGCGGCGCTGTTCTTCGCGCGGACCTTCCGCGAGCCCATCGCGGCGTGGCTTCGACGGCTTCGCGCTGCCGCCTGGGCTACCTACGAGCTGCTCGAGACTCCGACGACCGACTCGGAGTGGAAGGCCCTGCCGCTCCTCCCGCCCGCCCCACGTGCGGACATCGGCGCCGCGATCTGGCCGAGCGAGGCGCTATGCACGGCGTGGTGCCCGCCAGTGGGCGCTGCGGCACCTCTGGGCACTCGGATCTACGCCGACGACACCAACCACGCGAGCATCGTAGTCATGGCGCGGAACGCTGGCTACGGTTCCCGCCACTCCCGCCACGAGCTGAAGCGTGCTCTGGAGCCCTACGGCTACACGCACAAACCGTCCAAGAGCTCGGTGTCGCCCTGCTTCTTAGGCCGCGGCTCCAAGGAGGAGGTGCGCCAGCTCCAGCGGCGCTGAGGCCATCGCGGGAGTTGTGCAGTGCGACAACGTGGCTCGCGGCATCCAGGAATCTATCACGGGCAGCGCGCAGACTTTGCTTCGGCGCTGGCTGCAAGCTGCCCGCAGGGGATACTGCAGCATGGGCCGCTTCTGGGCGCGCAACCGCATCTGGCGACTGAAGCGGATCGTTGTCGGGTCCGTGGTGCAGGAGGCGGCGCACAGTGGTTTGAATGTTATGATTCGCATCGAGACGGAACACCGACAGCTGGATGAAGTACGCTTGAGTCTTGGCCGTCGTCTTCTCGCTGGTGCAGCATGCCAGAATATGCCTCTTCTCGCCGACGATGGTTCTCCTCGGTTTGATGACAATGGCGAGCCTGAACTACAAGGCAATGGCAGACGAGGCAGTGTTGAGGAGGCTTGGCGTAGCCCCTGCGCAGGCTGAGCTTCGCGCTCGGCGTCTTCGTCAGTATCAGCACTGGCTTCGTCTCCCTGGTCGCCGCCCTCAGGAGCTCGCGGTTGCGTTCGGCGAGCTGCCGCTGGACAGGACGCCGACGTTGCTGGGCGACGGCT